TGTCTGTGATTGTTCTAAAGCCTGTGTGTCTGTGATTGTTCTAAAGCTTGTGTGTCTGTAATTGTTCTAAAGCCTGTGTGTCTGTGATTGTTCTAAAGCCTGTGTGTCTGTGATTGTTCTAAAGCTTGTGTGTCTGTGATTGTTCTAAAGCTTGTGTGTCTGTGATTGTTCTAAAGCTTGTGTGTCTGTGATTGTTCTAAAGCCTGTGTGTCTGTGATTGTTCTAAAGCTTGTGTGTCTGTGATTGTTCTAAAGCCTGTTTGTCTGTGATTGCTTTAACACCTGTTTGTGATTGATCTAACGTTTTGTTTGTGATTATTCTCATTCTCTTTTGTGATAACTAAAACGCCTCTAAGATCGCTCTAACGTCTGTTTGTGATCGCACTTACCTCCTAAACCGCAAGGCCTAAGCCGATTTGGATGAATATTAAACAAAGGTCTGATCTAACCGAAAAATATGTAGCATAAGTAGGCGCTTATTAGAATACAGCGCATATTGGCCAGTAGGAAAGGGTAGTTTTACCGTTGGGCAGATCTAATTTTGTCTTAAATTTCTTATTAGCTATTGCATATAATTTACTGAAATTTGTCAAACACAAGTACATTAAGTGTGTGGTTTGGTTATCATATCTTCAGCCAAGTTGTGATTCATCGTCTGCTTGGATATCTATTCTAGGGAATTAGTGGGACATTCTTAATCTTCAATAAACCTAAAGCTGGTAAGTTGCGTTTAGATTACTATTTTGACTTGTGGAATTTTGATTTTGCTAGTATTTTGTTTTGTATAATTTTGATGTATTTTGTCCAAACACAATAGCCTACATTGTTCAGCACACGTGCAGTATAGAGTGGGAGGAAACCTTAATCATCACTGATAAGGGTAATCTATTACGCGCCATGATAACTACAGTAGTATAGAAAAGGCTGACATCCTAAATCACTTTCAAACTATTTAACATAGAGCGCTTGACTTATATAACTTACTTTAGGCTTGGTGCTTTCTTTCGATAATTACGTACTTTTATAACTTACCGTCTCCAAGTTTGTCTAAAATTAAAACAAAGTGGCACTGCAAAGTTGGGCAGGTGTGAACGAGTCATAAGGAGGGAGCTTCCGGAGTCTCTAGCACCAGATACCAGTAGGTTCAGTGCACATTGTGGTGATTACTCACACCCCTGTTGTCAGTTTGGTCTACTGTTGGTTGTGGTTATGCGTCAGCTCTTGGTACGCGGTTGGTAAAGTTGCCCTATTTTATACTACCTTCCGTTTCGGCTGTGATACAGTTTATCGTCCTTATATTACCATTGGTTACAATTGCGACGTTGTTATTGTTAATTATGGCGTACTGTTGATGCTGGTTGTGATGCAAATTTTAGTCTACAGTTGTTGTCTACAGTATGTTGTAGGTTGTAATAGAATTTTGAAGGGTCTACTGTTGCTTTCGAGTGTGATAACAATTTTGGTTTACAGTTACTTCTGTTGTAAATATGTCTTGATTGTGGTCGATTATCTACGTAATATGGCAAATTCTTTTTCTTTTTCAGTACACTGAATCACCACCACTTACCGTATTGACTTAACAGGTTATCCCATAAGTGTGGAACACTATCACTCCTGACTGGATACGTCGGCTGCATTTGTGACCTTAATAATGATGGCCACATTGTGCACATTTTGTGCATAAAATCACTTAATAAAACAATGCCGGTCACATATACTCGTCTTATAGTTCCAGACTTATGGGTCATAGTTCCAGACATATGGGGGGCCCCTGTGATATTTTAATGTTCTGTAAATGATATAATTGTCTTAAAGGGTGGTATTTAGTGACGGTAAGACAGGTTAATATGGCCGAGAATAATACAAAGACATTTACCATGTGACCCAAAGATTAAATGCCTTCGTAAATTTATTTGCCATAACTTTCAATAAAAGATAATGTCTTTGACATTGTAATGTTCAAAATAAGGAGAGATAGTATCAGAGGAACACAAATGGAAGCTGCAGACGCAGTTAAGCCGGAGGTACGCCAGGAAATACTTCTTATATGTGTAAGACATGCGAGTAATTGTAATGAGCTACATTAAGGGATTGTCGAGGCGAGGTCACTCACCAACTTCAAAAGAAGGACGAGAAACATAAGGAATATAAGACATTTCCTTAACAAGCCAGCAGCTGGAAAGGCTAGCCTAGGGAGCAAATACTCGACCCTAGGAGCAAACCTATAGTAGGCAAGTACATCAAAGTCAGTATATCCGTACACATTTAAACAAGCCTTGTCATCACACCAGCCAGCCCAAACCCGCGGAATCTTTGCAAATACGGGCAACGGTATACCAAAAAACAAAGTGGAATTCCAAGCCGATCTTTATTGTACCCATAACAAAATAAGAAATCTAAATGTGCACCGCAATTAATACCCACCTTTAGGCCTTCTAATATGAAATTAATGAGTTACCACCCTTTGTCCAAGGCTTCAGAAGCATCAAAAACTCACATTTGCCGTCAGGCAGTACTCGTCTCAGTGACCGGGCGACAAGCAGCTGCTGCACGCTGGTTTAAAAAGTTGGCATGGCCACTAGCCTCTAGCCTAGGCTGAGAGGTGCTATTCACGGTCTCGCTCCCCGGCGGCGGCCACGCCCAACTCGATCTCGTCACCAATAATTGGTCACACTTTCTTACCAAGTATCTCTCATATATGATAAGGTCTAACCACTTAAGCACTTTCAATATATCCACGGCAGCAATGAAGATATCTTGAAATAGACACGAAAACGCTTATTTCTTATTTAATTTTAATTTGTATACATTATCAGATTATTTATTTGTTAATGTCTGCGTAATTTACAGACATTCAATTATATATATATATATATATATATATATATATATATATATATATATATATATATATATATATATATATGTCGTACCTAGTAGCCAGAACGCACTTCTCAGCCTACTATGCAAGGCCAGATTTGCCTAATAAGCCAAGTTTTCATGAATTAATTGTTTTTCGACTACCTAACCTAACCTAACCTAACTTTTTCGGCTACCTAACCTAACCTAACCTATAAAGATAGGTTAGGTTAGGTTAGGTAGGGTTGGTTAGGTTCGGTCATATATCTACGTTAATTTTAACTCCAATAAAATAAAATTGACCTCATACATAATGAAATGGGTAGCTTTATCATTTCATAAGAAAAAAATTAGAGAAAATATATTAATACAGGAAAAATTGGCTTATTAGGCAAATCGGGCCTTGCATAGTAGGCTGAGAAGTGCGTTCTGGCTACTAGGTACGACATATATATATATATATATATATATATATATATATATATATATATATATATATATATATATATATATATATATATATATATATATATATATATATATATATATATATATATATATATATATAAGAAAATAAAGAGTATTCAGAGGTAGATTATATTAAATAAAAGAGGGATATAGACGAAGCTTATAAGAAAAGTGTATAGAAAGACAACTTTTGGGAGAAAGCACAAGGTGTACGCCAGTATGACTAGTATAGGGATTGAAGATAGGATAGCTGAAATTTGAGGACAGAGTGAAGCAACAGTATCTCAACACAGTCTGACAGTTACAATGCCACGCTGTTTTGAGTGTGTTTTGTGCTGCCAGTAAATATAATTCTCAGTTCTAAACATATAATAACTTTATATTAGCGTTGTCTGCCCTTTTGAGTATCGGTGACTGCTCTCGTTGCCCGAAGTTTCTTTGATCTAGCCCGTCCTCTTAGCTAAGGTTTCCTAACGTCAAGAGAAGCTACCTTGGTCAAGATTAATTTCAGCTGCCTTGTCTATAACATCATATTGGATAATACCTATATGTGAGGGGGGGGGGTACCCATACAAAGATTCTGAATCTCTCGTTCTGCGTATCCATTATTATTTATAAGTGATATCATAACATCCCAAGTATATATTCTGTATGTTGTCTTTTCAAGTGCTTGAAGAGCTGATACTGAATCACAACAATTACTCGTTCTATATTTTTCAGTGCATATTGCGGTGTGTGTGCAGCTAAGCCAATAATCAAAATTAGGCACCAAGGGGGCTGTTTAATCTTACAATAGTAGTTTATGTACATCTGTTGCTTCTGTTGAACCTACAGTACAGCCTATTGTCAGTTACTTTGATCTAATATAATTCCTGTTGACCAGACCACACACTAGAAAGTGAAGGACGACGACGTTTCGGTCCGTCCTGGACCATTCTGAAGTCGATGACAGTAGTCATTTGATGACAGTAGTCATCTGATGACAATAGTCATCTGACGACAGTAGTCATCCTGTTGATGACTACTGTCTTCAGACCAACCTCTCTAACCTGCGTATATTATGCATTCCTCAACAAATTGCACTCCTAACGACGTTTTACAGCATACCTTTGTCGTTAGACAATATAAGACCACGAATCTAAGGCACATGAAGTTGAGCTGAATGATAAATGCTGCCATATGTTAAGACATGACACCCCTCCCCCCTCCCCCTACAAACACACACAACATAACTGTCCCTATGTTCCGCTTGTTACAACTTGTAACAAAGTGGTTACATCTAGTTATAACGTTTCTATGACTTATTAGAACGTTGTTACAACTTGCTATATGGGTTGTTACAACTTGCTATATGGGTTGTTACAACTTGTTAACTCTTTTAATCTCCAAAAGACATTCTTATAAACACTGTACACACACACACACGTATGAACACAATCAGGGAACAATATCAAATAAACGTATACATATATTGCTCTAGGCATACTGCTGTTCAGTAATTTTAAGAACGAAGACATCGTAAAGATCATTTTCATTCTTTCACACTCTGCAGAAACATGACAGCAACAATGATCATGAAAATGATATATATACCACATACAACAACAAAAAAAATAGTATTAAAGCATATACAATGGGCAAAAATATAAGTGAAACTTAATATATCGTGCTTACCTCCCAAGTAGCGATGGTATTCCTTATACTCGGCTCGCAACACTCACATTCTACCACTTAACACATGTAGTCACTGATGCCTCAGGCATATAAATTTAGCGCACGCCACCACACCGCGGTCCGGACCACTACTGACACGTCGGGGACCACTACACCGACACGTCGGGGACCACTACACCGACACGCACTACCGACTGGACCGAAATATCTCGCATGAGGCACTGACAGGAGCACCACCCATAAGACTCTAGAAACATATATTTTTTGGCCATTACAGGTGGTGATTCTCTGTTATTTTTGTCTCCAGCTTATGGCAGGGCAATAATTTGGTCATTGTGTGTGATATTTAAAGAAGTTTGTATTTTGTTGCAAGCAAAATTGAATAATAATTGAAGGAATAGAAGCTACTCTCTCTTTGCTGGCCGTCCTTGGCAGATTGCTCGTGCGTCTGGCACACGTGTTGTGGACGTTGTGTCCGAAAACGTGAAGGAGGTTATTTTCGTTGCCTCCTAATTTAATAATTCATGAATATAAATTAATTTTATTAGATATCAAACATGAAATAAATATATTTGTAGTGACAGCTAGGTAGAAAAGATGAATCACTATTACTTTTCTGTCATAAGGAATCAAACTTCCATGTCTGATGTCAAGATTCGGACGTAAATTTGAGAGAATGGGAATACAAACGGGACTGAATTGAAGAAAACGTAAATAACTAAATAAACAAAGCATCAATTTAACAACTGAATATATATATCTTTACAGCCCATATCAAAGATTTGAATTACTCTGTTAGTATAATATATTTTTAACGTAATGCTAGGATAAAGAAGTCATCCTGGGACTATAGCTGAAAAGTGAATGAAAATTTATCTTGACAACAGGCATAAAAAGGGTGAATGAAAGTTGATTGCAGTTGATGAGTGTGTTTGCATATTTTATCTATCTGGGTTATGACAGTGCTACAATCTGTAAACATAAATCCGCATTGTCGTACACACCATGGGACACTTACGTCATCTCCACGTTTACGAAAATCGGTGGTAATGTGCTTATATATATATATATATATATATATATATATATATATATATATATATATATATATATATATATATATATATATATATATATATATATATATATATATATATATATATATTTACATATATATACAACGCTATGATACAAATTAAAATTTAAATATCCCTATCTCATATAGGCGCTATAAATGAGTAGGCTGCGGGATTATTTACAGTGCATGTAGTAAATATTTGGACAGCAGCACAATGTTTATTGTTTTAGCTCTGTACTAGAGCATATTGCAATTGAAATACAGCTATTTATATGGGAATTAAAACGCAATATTGAGCTCTAATTTGAAGCTATTTACATTCATATCGGGTGAACTATGTGTATAGGAGTTATACACAGCCTTTTAAATAAGTAATTCCACCATTTTGGGGGATCAAAAGTAATTGACACTTTAATATACTCGTAAATAAAGCCATCAAATCTATAGTAGTTGGTCGCAAATCCTTTCGATGAATGCGCTTAGGAGAGTGGGCAAGATTTTGTGTAGTTCAAATATTGTCATTACTCTTTGGTGCATAACATTCTACCTTAACCCTTTTCAAACTGATTTTTCACCCATGCGGTGAGGTGACCCTTGATCTGTAATGAGAGAAGTTTTCATTGCCACCTATACCATTCTCTATGCATTAACCGCAATGATTATTAGTTGTTCATTTATTATGCACCCCATACCTATCGCGTAGGGAATAATGGAACAGGTTACAGAGGCACATAATGGGTCAAGAACCTACAACAGTCTCTTAAACGAGCAATTGACATACCTGTGGTAAGCCAGTTGCATATTTACTAATCATGCACCTCACACACACATCCAATGAGCGGCGGTGGAAAGTTTACATGCACTACACAACCTACAGTAAACTAACTTTGGATATTTAGTTAAGATCTTTGCAGTTCGGCGTTCGATCCCGATAGTCCAAGTGCTTCACACCGTCCTCATATCCCAGTTCCTTGTGCTCATATCCCAGTTCCTTGTGCTCATTTTCCAGTTCCTTGTGCTCATTTCCCAGTTCCTTGAGCTCATTTTCCAGTTCCTTGAGCTCATTTTCTAGTTCCTTGAGCTCATATCCCAGTTCCTTGCACTCATATCCCTTCCAAGTGTTATATAATCACAGTGGCTTAGCGCTCTCCCTCTTGATTATTACACATTTCTTAAACATTTGTAATAGAATTATCTCTAAATTCTGAATTTTGTCACACTCAATTACACAATGACGTATGTGAATAGTTCTTAAGTTTACATTTGGTTAGGTCTACTTCGGCAGATGACGCAAACTCCTAAAGGTACTTGTAGACGAACCTAAGCCTAGCAGTATACAGTATATTTAATCAATTTATTTGACTTAATTATGTTCTTATAACATTTACCCGATTCTATTCGTCACTACCATTTATTTTTATCATTGTCTCTCATGGACCTACACACATATATAACACCTTTGTTCGTGCCAAGTAAATGTTTGAAGGTGATTTTTTTTCACGTCAGATTTATTTTCACATGAAAATAAAGGTGATTTTTTTCACGTCAGATTTATTTTCACATGAACGTATTTGGCCAGATTTTCCCCCGAGGGGGGTAATTAATAAATGGAATACTTAACTTAGCTCAGCCCACACGAGAGTATATGGATTCCTTGCGCCGCGAGAGGCAAGCAAGACACTAATTTAAGATCAACTCAGACTGGTACTCTTCATAAATTACTCCACCCTCTCCCAAGCTACATGCACTGATGGTTCATCATACTTAGTAATGTTAATGAATTTTGAGTAGTTAAAAGGATGGTAATTGGGTAATTACACTACATATACATGCTCAGCCAGAAGGGATGTAACACCAATGTTATCAAGTGTTGATATATATATTATTTTTTTTATTCTAATATTGAGGGGCCCAATTCCTGAGCCTATTTTGCGCCTATGTAAGTAATCTTATATACAGGTCATGTGAATGCACATATGTAACCTTTCATATACAGACCATTTTGTGCCACTGTATGTGACATTTCGTATACAATCCTTTTTATGCCTCTGTAACATTTCGTAAACATTTCATTTTATAACAAAGAGATCACAATTGTGTGATATATCAAGTCACCCAAATGGTTTTATCTTGTCATTTTATGTATGAAACTAATCAATTACATACCATTTTGTAAATCAGCATCAGTCATTGTGTCTCTCTAGCCCTTCGTATACACGCCATTTCGACTGTTCGCTATGGAATTTTTGTATTAAAATATACATTATTTTTACTCTAATCCTGGAGTATAGCACTAATTTATATCTGCTAGTTGGTCAATAAGCTTTAATGGTGGCCTTAATCCAGAGGTTAACAGCTCTTAAGCACAACATTAAACTGATCAACCCATCTCAAGTTCAAGTTCAAGTATGTTTATTGAGATAAGAAAGAAATACATCTCAAAGGGATAGAGTAGCTTAGGCTATTTCTACCCCCCTCTACTTCAAGTCCCTCAAGGGGCGCACAAATTTAAAAACCCATGTATAGGCTGTGAAAATAGATCCGCGATTCTGTTATGGGGAGATTTCTTCAGATATGGCCGCCAAAATGGCCACCAGGCCCAATTGGCCTAGTATTGCGAAATGGGCTATATCTCGGTTGGTGTATTCTGTATATACAATATATATTGAGTGGATTCGGCATGCAGTATACACCAACGTTAAGTGGAGTGGGCATGCAGTATTACCAGCACCAAGTGGAGTGGGCATGTAGTATATACCAACAAGTGGAGTGGGCATGCAGTATACACCAACGTTAAGTGGAGTGGGCATGCAGTATATACCAACAAGTGGAGTGGGCATGCAGTATACACCAACGTTAAGTGGAGTGGGCATGCAGTATACACCAACGTTAAGTGGAGTGGGCATGCAGTATACACCAACGTTAAGTGGAGTGGGCATGCAGTATACACCAACATTAAGTGGACTGGGCGTGCAGTATACACCAACATTAAGTGGAATGGGCATGCAGTATACACCAACGTTAAGTGGAGTGGGAATGCAGTATACACCAACGCTAAGTGGAGTGGGCATGCAGTATACACCAACGCTAAGTGGAGTGGGCACGCAGTATACACCAACGTTAAGTAGAGTGGGCATGCAGTATACACCAACGCTAAGTGGAGTGGGCATGCAGTATACACCAACGCTAAGTGGAGTGGGCACGCAGTATACACCAACGCTAAGTGGAGTGGGCATGCAGTATACACCAACGCTAAGTGGAGTGGGCACGCAGTATATCCCAGCCCGTCGGGCGTCGCACGCCATCATCATAAATCCCGGGGTATTAAATATTTGTCGGGAGGGATGTGGCGCCACAATCGATACACACACAGTTCAGGATGGATGTTGCACCACTGAATTCATGAGCAGTTTTTAATTCTTTGTTTACTCTTGTAAATTATATATACAATTTTAAAAATCAAATTACTATTTTCTTGTAGCATCTATAGTACATATACTTCTTAACAAATCATATCACACAGCCTAATGAAATATATATAACCTGTACTAATTGGTTATTATTATAATAAATTATATATATATATATATATATATATATATATATATATATAAGAATAAATTATTAGAACTAAGTAACACATTGTCTATATTAACTAGAGGTTCAGCGTCTGATGCCCATGTAGAATTCGTATATGTAGGAGGGAAAGTGCAGTTAATTAATGTTTCCAATTGTTCTATTTGTGAGTAGCTGAGTAAGATCACATCAAACCCGCTACTGGCTGCCTTCTATAGTATCTGGGAGAGTTCAATACCCACCATTGGCTGCCTTCTATATTAACTGAGTGTTCAATGCCCACCACTGACTGCCTTCTGCATTATCCGGGGGTGTTCAGGACCCACCAGTGGCCGCCTCCTGCATTATCCAGGGATGGCCAGGACCCACCAGTGGCCGCCTCCTGCATTATCCAGGGATGGTCAGGACCCACCAGTGGCCGCCTCCTGCATTATCCAGGGATGGTCAGGACCCACCAGTGGCCGCCTCCTGCATTATCCAGGGATGGTCAGGACCCACCAGTGGCCGCCTCCTGCATTATCCAGGGATGGTCAGGACCCACCAGTGGCCGCCTCCTGCATTATCCAGGGATGGCCAGGACCCACCAGTGACCGCCTCCTGCATTATCCAGGGATGGTCAGGACCCACCAGTGGCCGCCTCCTGCATTACCCAGGGGAGAGGGTTTAGGACCCACCGCTGCTGCTGTTGAAATTAAATCCTGGTGGTGATGGTCGGAAAGGGAGCTAGGGAGGAGGGGTGGAAAGCCCCCTAAGATACAGGAAGTGTGTGTGGAGGTGTGGGGTGTTGCAGAGAAGGCAGGGGTGGCCAGCCAGCCAGCCAGCCAGCCAGCCAGCCAGGCCAGCCAGCAGGGGTGGGGAGGAGGGAACGTTTGGTAGGCGAGGCAGTTCAGTCTACCTCATTTTTCTCCCGCGGGGGATGTGATTCCCGGCCCGTCTCGCTCCTGCTCTCTTAAAACTAACACCCCTTACCAACTTTTGGCCTCCTCGCCAGACGGAGGAGTGCTACGCCCGAGCTCGCCCGACGCTCACAATGGAGAGTGAGTAAATAACTTTTGCATACATTGTAGTTTAAGCCCGTGAATATTTAGTGAAGTGAGGTATAGTGTTGGACGGGGGGACGCTACGCTCAGTGTTGATAGTGACTTCCATCCATATATCAGCATAATTTACTCCTCTTGCGGGGATATCTGTGGGCCGAAGTGGTTTTTGTCAAGACTGAACAGCCTACTTTAAGATCCCACGGGGAAAGTTATATCTCATTGGCGTGAAGGAGTAAGAAAAACGGTGGCGCCGACTCGGAATAACGAGCACAGCCTTTGTTAGGAAGAGACGCCGAGGCGAGTGGTGTTCGGTCACCATGACAACCAGACCACGCCAGATCGGTGACGTCACCGCGTCGCCGTCGCCATGGCGACCACAGGACGCCGCTCCAGTGACGTCACCACACTTCGAGGGGTCGCCATGACAACCGTGACGCCAGATGAGTGACGTCACCACCAAAACATTTCACCCCTAGTTTTCAAAATGGCGACCGGCCTCCACCTCGAGCAGTACCTGGAGAGTAAGGCCTTTTGTCCGCCTCTCACCTCCCCTACCCCATTAAATGGTGCAATAGGTTATTATTTTCTCATGTAATGCTGCTCTACCTATTTCAGATCCTTTGTATCCCGGTATATCGGGCGCTACCAGGACATATGTTGTTTAAATGTTTAGTATTTGCGCGGGAAATATATCCTTGACCTATTTTTTTCCCCCCGATATGTTTTTAGCATAGCAGTGTGTTAGCTTTATGTGATTATGTTATGTGGGTATATCAGGGGGACGGTGGGGGGGGGGGGCTGGTGTAATTAGAGCAAGTTGAAGCAGGGCCGTCAACCATGTTGTCTCTGGAGGTAATTGTTGACACTTGTTCTAGTGTTCCCAGCCAACAGCTGTACAATAAACATGAATTAACCATTTTCATTCCATTTGCAGAGAAAAGCTCGTTTAGTTGCATATTTTTTTGTGACCTCGGAGGAAAAAAATGTGTTGCGTACACCTGAAGAAAAAATAAAATGCTTACGGAATTTGTTTGGTGTTTTTATGAACTAGATTTAATCATACACGTTTTATCAAAACGTGTTTTCTAATTTTTAAAACTGTATATCGTTAGGTTTGGTTGGGTTAGGCTAGGTAGGTGTTAAAATCTGTTGTTGATCCGTCTTTCGTACAAAGTGACCTATCCCCTCACGACATCAAAATTTAACAGGATGCAGCGAAAGCACCAAGTCTAGCCAACCTACATCACTGGTTTTGTGACGTCAGCATGGCTATTTATATATATATATATATATATATATATATATATATAAATAAAATATAAGCAAAACTAATGTATCCTAGCCTAACCTGTATGTGGACAAAACCTTGAAAATCCTGGAGAAATTTGTGATTTTGGTATTGCCGGGGTGAGGTCTGTTTTCATACAATGCAGCATGTATGCATCTGTGAATATTATTTTTGGATACTACACTGTACTGCCAAGATGTACATTTACTGGGTTTTTTTTAGAGGGATTGGGGGGGGGGGAAGAAAGCAAAAATGCAATATAAGGTCAGGTAAATTTAGGTAATTTGGGTAAGCTAACTAAGGATAGGTTATGATTCCAATTATAAATGGTTTGGCAGTGCTGGAAGAGAGTACAGTATGAGCTGTTTTATCACGTTAAGTATTTTTTAGGTTTCAGTCTTAAATATGTCGGTGACCTTATATAAATTTGCACTAGGTCATGTTACCCTAAGCTCATTTATTCACATAGTGTAATGTGCAATAGGTCTCTACCTGAGGGTTATGCTTAAATCATGCTCAAGTGTTTTGATGAGGCTCGTTTTCTGTTTGTCAAAACTGTATATATATCGTTTGGTTCAGATGTCAAAACTGTATATATCGTTAGGTTCAGATGTCAAAACTATATATTGTTAGGTTCAGAAGTCAAAACTATATATATCGTTCAGTTTGGATGTCAAAACTGTATACATCGTTTGGATCAGATGTCAAAACTATATATTGTTAGGTTCAGATGTCAAAACTATATATATCGTTAGGTTCAGATGTCAAAACTATATATTGTTAGGTTCAGAAGTCAAAACTATATATATCGTTCAGTTTGGATGTCAAAACTGTATACATCGTTTGGATCAGATGTCAAAACTATATATTGTTAGGTTCAGAAGTCAAAACTATATATATCGTTCAGTTCGGATGTCAAAACTGTATACATCATTTGGATCAGATGTCAAAACTATATATTGTTGGGTTCAGATGTCAAAACTGTGTGTATCTTTAGGCTAGAATGTCATAATTTAATACTGTATATCGTTAGGTTAGGATGTAAAACTATCATTAGGATGTTGAAACTGTTTACAGTATATCATTGTGTGTATGTCATTAGGTTAGTACCAGTATGTCAGAATTGTGTACAATATATCATTAGGTTAGAATGTATTAGTCTAGATTAAGCTTGATTGAGTTATGTTAAGTTGGGTAATGTTAGGCTATAATTTCCATCTGCAAAATACATACCCAGTTTGCATAGTGTGAACCTAACTTAAATACTCTCACAAATTAAAAGTGTATAATGCACTAAAAGATCTTTGTTTGTGCGTACGCATTACTATGAAAATTTATGGTAGAAATGAAGGTATAATTGAAATTTGTGATGCAACTGTTATTGGGGGTGACAACTTTTGCTTGAATTTATCTTAGGCCTACCTAAGTAGCTGTCATTTTATTTTAACAGCATTATGATTTAGCCTATTTACACATAGCATTCCCTTTAAATTAAAGCAACTTTTTTTTTTCTTGTACCCTGTACAGTACTACACTTATGGTATTGTATACTATTGTCGGGGATAAGAAGCCAGTCAGGTAAATTGAGGTCCTTTTAGACAATCTCAAGGCTGTCTGTCTGGTCACCCAGTTTGCACACATCAAGTATATACAGATTATCCTTTTTTTTTAAGTTCCTTGATAGTACAACCTCTTGAGATTTACAGTACAGGTATTTATATGTATCTAAAACAATGCAGGCGATGAGTCACAATAATGTGGCTGAAGTATGTTGACCAATCCACACACTAGAAAATGAAGGGACGACGATGTTTCGGTCCATCCTGGACCATTCTCAAGTTGATTGTCTTGAGACAAGGCAATCATTCTCAAAACAATCGACTTGAGAATGCTCCAGGACGGACCGAAACGTCGTCGTCCCTTCATTTTCTAGTGTGTGTGGATTGGTCAACAATCTAAAACAACATTTTAGGTTTAATGCTAACCTAAACCAACATTAGGCCTTACCTAAATGGGTACTATTACTGGGTAGAGTTAAATAATTGGGGAATGTGACAATTGGCAAATCCACCATCTAACCTGAAGATTGTGAATACCTGTATGTTGGAAACAAGCCCATGAGCCTGTGTGCTGTTTTGACCTATGGGGCACTACATTATTTGGAGGCAGGGTAAAATTATGTAGCTGGAATTGTCCAAAGTAGTGCGTTGATTATTTATATAATTTGTTTATCCTGTATAGTATTCTAGTAGCACAGCACTACATGGGCTTGTAACCATTGTGTCCACAGTCTTTAGGTTAGGGTATTCTGTTCTAACTTCGGCAGTCCCAGTGGTGCAGTAAAACGCTCGCCTGGTACTTCATGAGCTCTTTGGCCAGGGTTTATATCCTGGCCAGAGAGGATTGATGCACAGCATTTACTCCTTCAAGCTTTCTAGTGCCTCTACCACCCTTTCTTTTATTTTATTATTCCACTTCCCTCCCTTCCATATTTTCCTCTTATTTCATCCTTGTATATTCTTCTTATTAAATGATTTTCAGACCTCTTACTAACGTGTCCACTTAAATGTGCAGACTATTTTACTCACACTGCTGACTCATAATACTCACTCATTACTCACTTATTACTGAAAATTAAGACAGCCCACAAATCGGAAAGTAAAAGAAGTGACAATGTTTTGGTCTGTCGTGGACCCAAATTATCAAGTCGAAAGTGACGTGATGCATCTTCGACTTCATCTTCATTGACTTCGGTCCAGGACGGATCTAAACATCGTCACTCTCTTTATTTTCAGATTTGTGGATTGGCTGTCCACTTAAATATATTGCACTTTGCCCACTTTTCCACTCTACGTTTCATTCCTTAATATTGTACTGTACTGTCACTCATACCTCATCACTAGTGTATGTCTCAATTCACTGTTAATCTCATGCCCGAGTACTTGAACTCAGAACTAACAATGTTCACCATCATGATCACCACTGTTCACCCCTCATGATCACCACTGTTCACTCTCATGATCACCACTGTTCACTCTCATGATCACCACTGTTCACTCTCATGATCACCACTATTCACCCTCATGATCACCACTGTTCTCAGCCTGTTGACACACTGAGGGGAACTTCTGATGTCCTTTGCACCTCTGGTCAACTCCTGAGAGCTGTCTGGACCCCTGATTGAATGTCCTCTGTCTCTAGGCTTAGGCATATGCCGATTCCATTTACTTGACCACTCACTTGCGGTTAGGCTCTTTCAAGGCAGGTATTTTGCCCTTGGTGCCTAACAATGTCTTGACCTAGGTGCTTTGTGCTACATGGCGCGATCCACTCTTGTTTAAATAGGAAGTGTGCAGTCACTGTAAATGCCTGCGTGACTTCTTGACCTGGTCAGTTTCTTCGTTTTGGCATTCCTTCCTAACTCTCAGCAACCCCCCCTTCCCCCTGCCATTCATGCAGTGCTGTACTTGCAGCTGCTCTTTGTACAGTGCTGTACTTGCAGCTGCTCTTTGTACAGTGCTGAATTTGCAGCTGTTCTTTGTACAGTGCTGAATTGGCAGCTGTTCTTTGTACAGTGCTGTACTTGTAGTTGCTCTTTGTACAGTGCTGTACTTGCAGCTGCTCTTTGTGCAGTGCTGTACTTGCAGCTGCTCTTTGTGCAGTGCTGTACTTGCAGCTGCTCTTTGTGCAGTGCACAAAGAGTAACTTGCAGCTACTGTAGTTTCACATTGCTATGTTAGCCTTTCACCCCTATTCATGGAATAGCAATAATGTACAGTATATGGTCGCCAATTATACCTAATATTTGAATGGTGATACAGCAACTGTAGACACTCACATTGATGGGTATTTATCCATTTCAGGCTTAGAAAATCTACCTACAGAATTGCAACGTAATTTCCATTTAATGAGAGATTTAGATCAGCGTTCACAAGATGTCATGCGAAATATTGATCAAGTGAGTAGTATGCAATAGTTTATTGTCTTTGTAATAAGTATTACTACTGTTAAATTTATTTGATAAATACTCTACAGTGCTGTATGTAGATTTTGAATTATCATGTTACTAAATTTACGTTGTTGAAAAAAGTCAGATACTGTACTTTATGCATAATCTTATCTCTAGATCTCGGATGAATACCTGACCACAGTTAAAGGCCTGAGCCCGGAGAAGCGCTCAGAGCAGATGAGCAAGATCCAGAAAATGTTTAACCGGGCGAAGGAGTACAGTGATGATAAAGTTCAGCTAGCCATTCAGACCTATGAATTAGTAAGTTACTCTTTAATAGTTTGACACTCACTTTTTAAGGACTGTATTAGTAACAGCTTTGTGCAGCTGAATATTACTGATTGAAATGATGTTAGCTAATGTGACGAATACGTAAAGGTTAAAATATTGAAGAGAAGAGGAAGGATAAAAATAATAAATCTTCCAGTTTAAAAGTGAATTCAAGCAACACATGGCTGGTTGGCAGGATACAATCCACGTCATACATAAGAAAGTTCAACAACAGATTTTAAAACCTCAATCCAGTCCAACCCAACCCACCCCCAGTCAAAACCAAACCAACTTATTCTTAACCTAACCAGCCTAATACAGCCTAAGCTAATACATTCTAATCTAACAGTACATACAGCTTTAACACAGAAAACGAGTTTGTCGAATCATCATGTGTTATGATTTGACCATACTGAACTCCTCCTGGGAATAGGAATCTTGCTGATGGAAAAAAGTATGAGCCATACTTTTAGCTATTGAAGTAATATGCAGCATTTCATAGTTTCAAAAGAATTTAGAGATACAGTAATGGATCCTGTAGCACGGTGGCCTACGTCGTCATCCGCACAATCAAGGAACCCGGGTTTAACCCTCAGACAGGACAGAAATGGTTACACACTAGAGAATTGTTGGGGGCTGCATTCTGAAAAAGGTCAGTAGTAGGCCCAGGGAAACCTCAATATGCTTCCTATCCCCAGCAATGGGAATTAATGCCATTCGAAAAAAAAGAGGGTGTCCTTTCCACTGTTGATTTTTGTTTTTATTAGTTACCTTAACACTGCCATGCCACTTGGTAATCCACACCATTGCTCTGTAGATAAATACTTGTACTGTATATTTTATATATTTCATTCCACCTCTTACTGACGTGAAATGCTCACCATCACCATCATGCCTTTCCCAGCTCCATGGTCTTCCCGGCTTGGTGCATTCTTTTGGTAACTTATTTTTTTACTGAAAGCAAGCAGTGACAGCCTAGCTTATGCATGTAACATTTTCTTAACAAATGTTTTAGCTGCTCCACAAAAATTCATTAACAGAAGAGATTTGAATTGTCCGAGTATGATTCTACAGGATGCCATTCCCTTTTGGAAGGGTATTTTCCAGTGGAGACAATGTATTACAGGCTATTGTAATACATTGTCAATATACCTATTGACTTTTGTTTAAATCCAACCAATGTGTCATAAGTGTGGCTATGCAATCCTCAGTCACTAATGTACTATGGGCACAATCAATTTGAAATCTAAGACTAATTACTTTTCTTCATCTGTCTTGGACATCGACAAATAAAGTTTTGAAAGTTAATTGTAGGACAAAACGTTGTTCTTCATGCAAAATATATTGCAAACATGTTTTGTTTGCAGAAGTTAGATGCCTCAACTCATAATTTGTATTTCTCTTACCATCTCCATGATTCAATTAAAAGAAAAGTAGTGAAGCATTTGTATTTAAATAAATTTTATTTCAAAATGCTTTAATTGAATATAGAGTATATGTTTATGTACATGACAAAATATACACTATATAGCGGGTGGTAGGAGAAGACAATATGTGAGTGTAAGCCGGTGCCCAACAAGGCTCCTGCGGATGCTGCATATCATCATCTTCGAGGCTGAGGGTCCCTACAAATGCAACCAGAGGTGGTACCCCCTCTATATATATTATAAAAATAAGTATATATATTTTATATAATAGAACTTTTGTTGGTGTAAATGTGCACCCAGTTTCAGGGCAATTTAGGGATGGTCTCTTGTCTCAAAGAAACTAGTGATGGAAATCTTAGCTTTTCCATTCATTTGTGTCTCTTGTAAGTTATCAGTTTATAGCTGAAAGTGAATAAAAATATCACAAGTTTTTGTCTTGGTGCAGGAAAAGAAGTGCACTGTTAACGGTAAACAAAAATCATATTGAAATGACAAGAAGATAATGTATCTCTGAGAAAGTATTTCGGCTGTTGTCTCGGCTGATTGCAGGGAAGTTGTTGATTATGCTGCTGTCAGGATTTTTGTGGACTCCTGACAGTGGCTGGCAGCACAGGACACTTTTCCTGCTGTTGCCAGCATGAAAATTATTGCCTGTGCTGCCAGCAGGACTGTTGTTATCTCCTGTTAGTAGAACTGTTGTCTGTGCTGTTAGCAGGACGATTGTTAATTGTGCTGTCAGCAGGACAGTAGTTAACTGTGCTGTCAGCAGGATGGTAGTTAACTGTGCTGTCAGCAAGGAGGTTGTCTGTGCGGTCAGCAAGACAGCTGTTGAGTGTGCTATCAGCAGGATGGTCGTCTGTGCTGCTAGGAGGATGGCACGTACATCTTGGGGAGTCTAGTTAAAAATGTAAACTTAATCCAGTGGACAGAGAAATATTTGCTTGTTCTGCACACATGACCTTGTTGTGAGGGGTGATAACTATATTACATATTTATGTAGTCAATAAATAGAAAAATAAAAGCAACCCGCTCATTTGAATTTCTTTACTTGCTGAGAATGTACGTAATCTGAACGCAATTTTTTTTTGCAGGTGGACAAACACATACGTAGATTAGACTCGGACCTTGCAAAGTTTGAAGCCGAGATAAAGGAGAAAGCTCTCAATAATAATAAAAAGGAAGAGGAGACAAACAGTAAGAAAAGTAAGTTGCATGTTGCTCTGACAGCTGTAACATTATTGCACATCAGAGGCATCAGCAAAGGAATGTTGTAATCCAAAATGATTGTGAAACTTCAAAAGGGCAGTAAATATACTTACCTGAGGGCTTTACGAGTTCCTGGAACCTCAGACAAGCACAATAGACTCGATTGTTAACTTTTTGGTTTGCGCAATGATATGTAACTGAGGTGCCAGCAAAGATTTAAACAAACTTACTCCTCTTCTGAAATGGCATCAAAACATCACAAATTTAGAGATCATCACTGAGAAATGAATGAAAACTTGGACTTTTGTAGCCAATAGGGATGAAAATAATGTATTGCTTGAACTGAAGGATTGTGCTCCATTGCATCACAGTTCAGTATAACGAAAGGCCTTGTTGCAGTCAGGTATTAACCCACTGCACAGTACAGTATTCAGGTAGACTGACAATGTTGCAAAAACGGGCGCAGTTGATATGCAACTGCAGTGTTATAGCACACAAAATGCGTACGTAATTGTTAGCCAGAGGCCCCTACTTTGAGAAGCTGTTCCTCGGGGCTCTGAGCTTATCTCGGAAATCTCTCCTCATATCTGACATTGAAAAAGACAAATTATAATGTTTAATCACCTGTATGAGACTAGAACATATTGATAACACCACAAATTGTTAATTTAACCCAATTCATACAGTTAGTCACTGAGAATAATAATGTCAACAAATAAAAATTTCAGTTCCTCTGGAAATATAAAATTAAATTTCATTTTATTTAAAACACAAAATGCAATAAAGTTATAATGGAGCACAATGGAAATAAAAGATGGCATATCTTAAATATTAATGTTGCAAGATCTTACTTTTGTCAAACATAGAGTAACTGTACAACTTCAAAAAAGATGGTAGGCCTAGGCTATGTAACGCATTTTCGAACAAGAGGTGCCAGGTGAATGTTGGTACTCTAAGGCTGTTATACAAAATGGTATATTGCTGTATACGTAAATCCCCATTTGCCAGGCAAATGGCTGACCTAGGTAGAGTGCAGGGGACATTTGCTGTCCAAATCCAGTCAGTAAAATATTTTAAACTACTGCACTGGAAATCCCTAAAAAAATTTAAATTGTACAGTATGCCCTGGAGAGCAAACAAGACGTACAGTATCGTGCAAGTTATCCAAAATGCAGAGTCCGATTCTGCACTCAGAATAATTCCTTACAAGAGCAGAAGGCTCTGTGGAATGTGCAAAATAGCTGCCATAAAGCATGTTAAATATAGTGAGTCCGAGGTTATCAATTGCCTTCCTTCAAATATACCGTATAGGGGAATTGTCAGCAGACCCCTAACTGTCTTCAAGATGGGACTTTATACCTTCCTTCAAATCATCCCTGATCAGCTGGGCTGTGGTGCCTACATCGGACTGTGAACTGCACGTACCAGTAGCCTGGCTGATCAGGCCATCAACCAGGAGGACTGGTCAGATACCGGAACCGTCACTAGGTAGACACTAGGTAGGTAGGGGTACTGTCTTGCTAAGTGTAGAAGTTGTATGAAAGGGTTTTGTTGATGAATGTCAAGAGTGTCACAGTGGCAAGGTCAGAGGTAATCATTGAGTTTATTGAAAATTTGCTCTTGGAATTTGTTATTTTAAAGATTTAAAAATTACTGTTGTAAAGTATGTGAATGAAGACTTGTATTTGGTGAGCTGAAATTAGCGAGAGATTTTTTTGTAGACATGTTGTATTTTTCTTGGATGACATAGTTAATGCAATAAATTGCATCAAACACATGTTCATTGTACAGGTGTACAGCCCTTGTTATTTTGACTGATAATCCTGACACAACAGGAAACTCAATTAGTTTGCCCATTTGCAGAGGGAAGAAAGAAAAAAGAAGAAAAGGGGAAAAATAAGAGGAAAGGTAACCAGTCAGATGAAGAGGAGGCAACGCCAAAAGCAGGGCGGAAAAAGCAGAAGAAAAAAGTTGACACAGAATCGGTAATTACATCTGTTCTTCCCGGCCTGTCAATTGCTCATCCCTCAGATGTTTTGGACATGCCAGTGGATCCCAACGAACCCACCTACTGCTTGTGTCACCAGGTGTCCTATGGAGAGATGATTGCCTGTGATAAGATGGATGTAAGTTACCAGTGGCATCTCTGTTTTATTGCTTTTCTTATTCCTTTCCTTTGCACTTTGGGAGACCATACAGTACTATGTAAATTGGGTTTCTTTTAAATGAAGTGCAAATCAGCAGTTCCTATAATGGCCCACTTTCTCTAATGAATAATATTGTCTAAAGGTTAGAATTCTTGTTAAATATTGATGACCAAACAACAACATTTTGGTCCATCCTGGACCATTATCAAATCAGTGTGTTGGAAGGAGCACCTTTATTCACTTGTAAAAGTAGATAGTTGGTGGTTGGGAAAATCTAGGAATAATAATATTATTATGTTCTCTAGACTGTGAAAGTGTCTGAAATCCTCAATTTGATAGCAACTGTATTAAAGATGTTACCTATTGCAGAATAACCTTTAGCCATTTAGTAGTTGAAAATATTATTCTGAAGTGAAAAGTACTACTAGTAAAGCATTTAATAATTTGGATTGAGTGATAATATTTTCCCCAAGATTTAATTAATCTTTTGCTTTTGAGATAAATGCTGTACTGATTTGGTATACTCATGTGTTTTGAGTCATAACCTCACGAAAATGGGATAGTAATACAGCCTGTAATGGTGGTGATTTAACATTTGTTATTTTGATGTTAGCCTCTTTACCTGTCTTTTTTTTTTTTTTTTTTTTTTTTTTTTTTTTTATTAGTTAATGCTACTTGTCTTTGTGAAGAAGGGCATTTGAATCAGTAAAGATAGCTCAGTCGATTAAGGCAGTGTCTAGGATGCTCCCGGACGCAGGTTCGAATCCTCGTCACGGCCCTTGTGGATTTGTTCATTTGTTCAGTAAAGATAGTATTACTACCAGCACCTTTTCAACTCCACTCGTCCATTATCACCTGCCATTCACATAGCAGGCTTGCCACAGGCTTAAGACCCCATGCAGGAATATCTCTTAAAAAAAAACTGTTATGTGTACTGTATTCACATGTCATATTCTCCCCTCCCCCCATATTTTGAACCCATTAGTGTCCCATACACTCTAGAGTACATGAGTTTATTAAGAGAGAAGCTGTGGTTTTAACACTTTCACTGGCCCGGCGGGGCACCCAAATCACACCGGAAAGTAGGCCAAATATTCCTGGTGAGTACACAACCCAATGTTAAACTCATTCACTCACAAGGTTTATACTTAAGACTATGCAAAGGGAAAATGTTAATTGTTTTTTCCTCTTTAAGGTTCATTATTTGGTGGCTTAACTCAGTAAATACATCCCAGTCATTAAAACCAGATAATTTTGATGAAAGGACATCTTTTAGCCTAACCTTTTGTCTGTATGTTTACATTTGACCACGCATCAACAAGAGAGGTATTGATATTAGAAATGTAATACAAATTTAATAAGAATAAACAAAGCTCAGTTCATATCGACAGTATCTTAAAATTAACTTTACAAATTTTGTATAGATTAGTTTATTTAAAACATTAAAACATATTGTCCCATTTTATATTAAAATAACCCAGATAAATATGGTAAAATACTAAATGTGTCCCCAAAGCATGGAGTGTCATAAAAAAAAGCCCATTATGGTTCATTTGGACTACATCTGTATGATAGGCTCTCACTGACCTTGCCCCTTGCCAGACAAGTATCTTTGCAAATGATGTTAGGAAAATTAATGGAGAAGGGAGACTGTGGAGAGTCCAACTCGAGCTACCGCCGAGAGACTGGTCGCTAACACACAAGCGAGCCATACCCTTAGCACCCCCTACAGTCACTAATTAGAAAATGAGGAAAGCCAATTAACACTCAAAACTACCATTAAAACTACACTAGCTTTCACAACAATGTTAAGGGAAGCTAATTGAGACTTGAATTGTTAGAGTTTAATTGTATTTCTTACCTGTAGTTTACCAGATGATTTTAAACCTGTTGTGGCATTTTTTCCCTGGACCTCAAGGATGCCAGTTGGCCTATACCAGTTAATTTGTGGTTCAGGAATTGGCTGGGGTGTCAAGTTGGACATCGGCCCTCAATACTGTTATCATTCCTGGGGGTCTTGGATATGTTTGTCAATGATCTCTTGTTTAATTTGGACAGAATGCGAGTTAGACACATCCTTCATGATTTGAGTATGTGACACGTTTGATTGTCCATGGGTGGTTCTGCTTATCTCTACGTGGAACTACCCATTCCCTGTGAGGTTACCTTGAGGTGCTTCCGGGGCTTAGCGTCGCCGCGGCCTGGTCGTTGACCAGGCCTCCTGGAACGTGGCCCCCCGTTCACCCCCTGGGTGAATATGACTTTATTTCACCAATCGTCAGGATTTTAAGATGGGTACAGTTTGTCTCAACTGGGGTTGGTGGAAGATAATTTTCTTACACACAGAAATTACAATAGCTTGATACAACAAATGAACGTGATTGATTTGTGGCGTGGCGCCACAAATCTATGACGTGGCGCAGTCGACTAAAGGCGCATCTGATCTGGGATCATCCCGAACGTGGGTTTGAACCCTCATCATGGCCTTTGTGGATTTGTTTATAATTTCCTTGTTTCTAGCAGTCTGGATTCTGCTGCTTCCTGCTCTGCTGAAGATGATGGCAATGGTGGGCCACATTTTTCTTCTGGCTTGTGTGTCACTAATTCGATCCTAGTTTCTGGACCTAGTACTGTATTTTGTTTTCTCAATCCAGCCTTATTTCTGGCCAATTGTCTCTACCAGAAGATAAGCAGCAGAATTTTTTGAAGACTGGCACTACTGTCTGTATGGATGTCAGGTGGTGGCACTTCAGATTCTTTATTTCCATGTGCCCTACCTTCAGTATTTAGTCACGTGGTGAGTGTTTTATCACTTGTGTGCTTCACCTTTTCACTGAGCCTTTGTGTGGCAGTTTTCATTCCCCTTTTACATAGGTTTTGGTCTGTGGTCATCAGCTTTCTCGTGTTTTTTCAGTGGTTAAGGTAGGTAGTGTGTTTTGACTAGTTGTGTGGTAGCATCTTCTTCTGTTATTCTTGGCATGATATTCATTGCCTGATTTTTGTCATGTTTTCTCCCACTGGCTTGATTTGTCAGGCCAATGTCCTGCTTACCCATTGTCTCCTGGTTGCATTATCCCGATTACTCCTGGTTTCCTGCACGTGTGTTGCTCAGTGTGCATCTACTCTTCTGGTCTGTCTTACACTTAAAGGATTCTTCTCTGCTGCATTCTAATGTTTTGTGCTAGGACATCTGGTCCCCTTGCCATTCCCTTGCAGAGTTTTGCCCTGCCCTTAGTTTCACACTGTTGACCTGGGCCACTTCATTCCATATTGGGGTTGAGCAAGTATGGTAGCTGAACTGGTTCCCCTTATTTGCTGACAACATCAAAATGAATATGAAAGTTTCCTTCGTAGAACACAAAATTACAATCAGATACTAACAGTCGTCCAGTGGCTATATATAACATGACATTCAATGATGACAAATTAAAATATTTCAAGTACAGAACAAACTAAACCATAAAAGGAGTACAGGGTACAACAGTCAGATCTTCAAATAAAAAGGAGCTAAAAGGTAAAAGAATTTGGAATAATAATGTTAAAGGATGCAAATTTTAGAGAGCACAACAAAGCAAATGGCAGCAGCCAGGAAAATTACAGGATGGGTAATTGTAAACATTTAAAACTAGACATATTACCTGTATTGTTTAGCATACTGTTAAATATACCATACAAGAATACTGTATATTTCTGTCGTTGGAAACCGAGACCGTTGCTCTTATCACTTATGCACTGTGATTATGTTGACAAGACGTACACTTTGTAAACAGCAAGAGCCTATTCATTCACTTTTTTTTTTTAAGCTTTGAAGGTTTTTGTGCAAAACTAACCACAAGGCAGTTGTAAGTTAGTTTATTGAAGGGTGTACTGTTGAAATTGGAGTATGTTGATACAAAATGATCCTGAATATTGAAAATAAGCAAAGTGGGTAATATTTATTTGACATTTGATAATTTGATGTCAGAGAGATCTGTTGCATGCTAGTCATGTTGAAAGTTGGATTTTAAAGGCTAATGAGATTTATTTATATAGAAGATCTCATGAATTTTGATGACATGTTATGATTAAGATGTTCAGTTTTACCCAAGATGCAGATAATGCTATTAGAAAATGTGTATTGATCGAGTTTTGATGGTACAAGAAATAAATGGAGAAATGTGGCAGATTTATGGGAGAAACAGATATACTGTAATACATGAATTAATGTTAACTTTTTTTTTTCAGTGCCCCATTGAATGGTTCCATTTTGCATGTGTGGGTCTCACTACGAAACCAAAAGGCAAGTGGTACTGTCCGAAGTGTTCAACAGAAAGAAAGAAGAAGTAACTTAGGATCTGCTATTTGTAAAATGTTCTATTTTTCAGAGAATATTTGATTAAATGTTATTTGTTACATAGGTTTATAGTTGGTTATATAAAAATTATAAATAGGGCAGTATTTATATTACAGTGTGCTGAAAGTACATTATAAAAATTGATTTATAGTGTACCATTCTATTACTTTGATAATTCATGTTTACACGTGTGGGTGAGTATGATGGCTGTAAAGATGAATGATGATACTTCTATGTATTAATACAATTTCAATAATCAAAAATTTAATTTATTTCTTGAGTGGTTGTTTCAGAACTGTTCTAAGGAACAAGAATTTTGCTGTAAATAATATTTATTTTTTAGTTTGAGACAATCACACAAGAAGTATGGAACTGTCAATTACTCGGTGATAAAAAGATTTATATGCTGTAAGCCAATGAAAGTAACTTGGAATGTGTTTATACAAATTTTACTTCCGGGTAAAAATTGAAGTGGTAACAAAGAAGGTGCGGCTCTTGGTTGTAGTGCCCCGAGCGAGTCCAGGTGCGTGGTGTGGGTGCTGGACGATTGTATGCAGGTTCTACGGTTTCTTATTACAGTACTGTGTTTTATTTTACAAGGTGATAAAAAATTTTATATTAGAAAGCAGATCAACTTAACAAAAATTTTAAGGGCTTTTCACAATGCCTTTCAGATATTATTTTATTCTGTTCTTCAGTATTTTAGGAAATCGGAACTAAAGTAAGAATCTCAAGAACTTGGCAAGGCTTCCAAATCACTCTTCCATCATTCCGTTTTATTCTTGATCTCGTGTAAGGAAAATGGAAATACAGAATGTAGGTGTTGCTCATTTATTTTTACGAGTAAAGTATGGTCTTTTAGTAGCATTTTTATATCCTCATATTGAGTTAGCGTAAGTGTGGCTATCTTCAAAATTGTCACCCAATGAGCATAAAAAAATATTTTACTTCAGTTTTCTTACGAGACATTTGTTTTCAAAAGTTGGGAAAATACAGTACAAGGACATTTTTTATTTAATATATTGAAAACTAAGAAATCTGTATGCAAAAGTAAATGTAATGCCAAAATAATCACATACAGTACAGTGAAGATCTTTACGAAAGTAAAAAGTAAGTGGTATGGTCATGTTGGCGCCAATGACCGCTGAAAGATAACATTAAGGGTAACATTGAAAGTCTAACCCCTTACATAAAACAGTCATATCCCCCATTTCACTGCAGACCATCTTCATAGACAAAGCCAAATGCTCGTTAACCCAGCTGCCAAACCCCCTGTTTATGAATGAAAAACTGTTTATACATGAATCAACAGGTGACGTCTGAACACTTCCGGAACAAGTGCTTCGCTGATGACATCTGTTCGAACCACAATGTTATAAATGCTTCATCCACATACTGTACTTCAGATACAATTAATCAGCCCGTCCTTACAAAGATCCAAGCTCATTAATCCACCCGCCATTTATGAATGAAAAGCGGTTTACACTTGACTCACAACTGATGACGTCCGAACACTTCCGGAACGAGTGCTTGCTCATGTCCTCTGTTCAAACCAATTCTATAAATGATTCACCCACATACTTCAAGTACAAATAAATACCAAAAGAACCTAAACACCTAACCTCACCTACACCTAATTATACATAGAATTGTTATGTTTAATAATATAAATTTATATATGAGAACAAACCAATTTTTAATACACAGTATATTAAAATTTATGAATCCGTCTTGAGAAGACGGCCTCTGCTTTAAACAGCCTAGTGTGAGGACCAGTTATTCACTAAATGATAGGTGTAATTTCTCATTTTCTACTGACAGACAGGTTGTCATCATGACCAGACCTGTTCTACCTTTATGCTTTTCTACTGTTCTCTCGTTACATCAAAATCAGTGGCAGTTTTGCATTCTACAACTTAAGCTCGTGCATAAACAAGCACTTCTTTTAGTAGCAAAATAAAGCACACACAACACAGTCCTTCAATACCTTTAATAAGCCGTGATTACAGGGGATGTAAAGAACGGCTACATTAGCATTACCGAGAACAGTCCTTACCCAGTTATTAATCATGCAACATCCATAGCCCAAATGTCCAAAATGATCAAGATCTCAAAACCTAATAATTCCTCAACTTGCTCAGTTTATGTTGGCATCTTATTAAGAGCAATATTTAAGCGCTGCTTGCATACTAAACCTTCCTCACAATATACTGTACAACACTACCGTGCCAGCACTAAAATCAATAGACTTCCATATTAAAATTGCCTCTGGTGAAATAGGCACAGATGATAAATATGATCTTTTCCCTTAGAATTCTCTAAGTTCATATGATCTGAACTTCTGGATAAGATGGCATAATATATATAGTATTCTGAGGCTACTTGCTAACTAATCCTTTGCTATAACTGTACAAAGTCTTTAACCTTCACATGTGTAAAGTTATTTTAAGGATTCTTTTCAGCTGGCCAATATATAGGTACATCTTAGTCATAATCTTGATAGTATGGGAAGTCTGAGCCCTCGAGGCACTTCAGTGTCCATGCTTGGAAAGCCTTCTGCTGCTCCTCTGTCAAGTGGTTCTTCCAGTCTCCTACCTGTGGAATTAATTCTTCTGTTATGGACATACGGTAACTTATTTGCTATATTGTAGTGGTTAATTTACTAATTATAGATAAAAATACACACCCACCACTATGCAAAACTCCATGTTATTTCCTGTCTTTCTTTTAAATAACTATTGGCATTAATTCCAAACTATGATGTTTGCAAAATAATCAACTTCTGAGCCATAATGTAAACCACAATGTAATGTGCTGTTTTCACAATATTTTTTCTTATTGGATTAGCCTTGAGCCCTATTCTGGTTGACTTCAGTATATTGTACTATACCTCATTACCCAGGCTGTAATAAGAGTGATTTCTATTATTTGTAGGTTTCAAAAGTGAAATTCTACATTGTTACATTACATGTGTATTATATTATCATGGGAGTTTTTTTATATTTTTTGTGAAAGTTAAAATTTGTTGAGATCCCATACTTTAAGGTGCTCTCACAACTAATTTTGACATCTACCTCTGGTTAACTAATTCACTGTAAGTACGGCATGTATGTATAAGAATTACCGTTCCCTTCCTCATGAACTTCAATTTTTGAGCAGCTTCAGATGAAGCCGACATGAAAGTCTCATTGTTGACCGCCAGGTTCTTGCTCATCTCGCCAAAGGAGCAGTGGTGAACCAGCCAGGCAACCTGCTCCTCATCCACTTCCTTCCCCAGGAAACCTGCTACCTGCCTCACTATAGCAGCCAAATCCTGCCATCCATATGCAAATACTTAATTCAATGTCATGAGACAGATTATTCAAGATTATCCTCAGTACAAGTACTGAGTATTATATTTAACATGAAGATGATCTTATTTATAATATAAAATTCAAAGGGATAATATCCTGTCAGAATTCAGAGAACAGGAAAAAACTGCACCCAGTTGGCAATTAAACTACAAATAGAAATCTTCAAAACAATGTTTCAATCACTATTAGCAGGTATCACTGAGAATTGCAGCAAGATCAATACCTTTTTCATATCTTCATATCGGAGGAAGAGGATGTGTTCTTCATGCCGCATCTTCCAGAATGTTAAAATATGTGACCAGATAGGCGAGTACGTAACTGTGGCAGAGAGAAAATCTTCAGTCAAGATACCTAGGTCACCTCCGCAACCTGTCCTCTTAAAAATAACGTCGCTTTTGGCTGTTTGCCCGTATGGCCGAAAGTGGACGTAATTTGAAAATGAAAATAAATTTGGGATTTTTTTTTCGACAACAGTAAGTTAAGGGTCCTCTGGTTGGTTAGGTGGGCAGGAAATTTTCATAAAATATCAAAACGTTATGAAAAACGTTAATTGAAACTTTCCTCTTCTAACATTACAGAGTAAGCCGGACGACTCGAAACAGAAAACGGGATAGTACGTCACTTTTGTGAGTCGATTTCATTTCAAATTACGTCCAAATTTGGCCATAGCGCACATATGAGCGAAAAGTGATGATATTTTTAAGAGGACGGGTTGACCTCCCACGCACCAGTATCCAGTGCCTGGTTTTTTTCCCTCTTAATTCGTACATTGAATAATAGTTTGTCTGTGCATATAACAAGACTCTCATCTTTTCTCACTCTAGAAATTCACATGTGCTGTGCAAGACAAATAACTACAGTATTTAATTTGTACTCCTGCTCAAACAGAACTTCAGAATACTGTACCAGTTAACCCAAAAGTTGCAAAATACAGGCAACATTGGATGCATTACCCATTTTTGTTTTTTGGGCCAAACACATTTAGTTTTTGTTGTTAAGAACTTCCAGTCTAGCACTGACATAATATAATTGAATAAAAAATAATTTTGCTTACTGTATACATTTATACACTGTATACCAACATTAAGCAACAGAGGCAAGAGTTCATACCTTTGTCGGCCAGGAAGAAATCAACAAACTGGTTGAAGGTTCCAGCGTAGCCCTCCAGCTTGACGTGATGATAGTAGTAGGAGACGCACACGTCGCGGGGGTCCCTACAGACATACACCACCTGAAGAGAAGCACGGCATTGTCAGTACCTAAACAACCAGCTCAGTTCTCACCAATAAACAGAAAACATAGTTGAAGAAAAGCAGGTGGCATGTTACCAGACTAGACCCAGAACTTAATTACGTAGAACAAGTTACGAAGAAAGACTAAAGTAGTTAAATAGTACTGTATGTCTTTGGAAGAGGGAAGAAACATGGTAGACACAGATCACACCCAAAAATATCAGAGGAATCAACGAGGCTGACAGAAACATTATGTATCATGAGGGATTCATTAACAATGGGGTCAAATGTAAATAAGTCCAAAAATTTAGTCATGAAGAAAATTTTGTTTGGATGTCTGATAGTGAACAAATGGAATACCAGTACAAGAGATAGCAGCAAACTCCAACATAGCTTCAAATATAGGTATGTCAGAGCCCAATAGGCTCTGGAACCTATACACCAGTCGATTAAGTGGGAACCAAGAGTTAAAACTCGTATCCTTGCAAATACAGTAGAATTAGGCGAGTACCGATGCTAATGGATATGGCTGCCATGTAACTCGCCAACCCACACCACCACTATTCCACTTATACAGTACCTGTAATCCAACACACCCACCTACAATGTCAGAACCTGCTCCACAATCTTTCACACCCACCTGCAATGTCAGAACCTGCTCCTCAATCTTACATACCCACCTACACAGTCATCATTTGGCAGAAACACAAGACGTGCTTCTGTTCCACAACACTGAACCAGACAAAAAATTCTATGTTGCACAGGTGACTATCCATCACTGGATTTGAACAAGTTTGCAAACACCCATACAGCCCATTATCCAAATCATCAAGTTCTCCATCACACCACAAGGTGGTCGAGGCCAAAACCGTCAGTACTGTAGTTTGAAAGTGTTATATGCAGAGTGCTGGGAAGACGGGACACCACAAGCATAGTCTGTAACTACACTTAGGTAATTACACTTAATCCTAATAAGTCAAAATCTACATTATTGTCTTGCTATATTGCATTTGCATAAACTTGGCTAGAATCAAAGCACTTGGAAATCAATAAATTATAAACTCAAGAAGTAATCCATTTTGTAGGAAGATGTACCTTGGGTTTGACTTGCCAGATTTGCTCGGGTAGAAGTGCCTTCGGCAAGTGTGACTTGATGCTCCTCGGGGCAGGTAATTCTTGCAGGATGCGCCATGAGTTTCCCGAATTCATAGGGTCATCCTCTCTCAAAAGAGACTTGTCAAAGTCGGGGCTAATGAGAGACTCAATCCTGTAAAAATTTATTCGTAATTATTAAAAAAAATAAAATTGTACCGGCTAAAGTAATAAAGTGGCTGTCGCCACTAAACGGTTCCTGTATGTTGTTGTTTTTTAGATTTAGCTACTCAGAACAAGAAGGTCCAGTAGCATGGGCTATGGTGAGCCCATAAAGTTTGGTGCCTTTATAGGTTCCTGTATGATGCAGCTCCTATTTATATCCACTCAATCTCATTCATATATTTGTCATTGTACCTCACTTCACTTCACCTCTCTCTCCTGCCTATATATTTCCAATTTACTGACTTGTAAATTACGGGCTCACCATAGCCCGTGCTACTTGGAACTTGTTCCGAGTAGCTGAATCTATAACAACAACAACAACTTGTAAATCATTCCTTCTGAAGATGTATTATTAAATAAGCAAGTACTTAAGGAAACTCCTGTTTCAGTTCTTCCTTCGTGGTCTGACACTCACATTTTTCATCATGTGTTAATTTTCGTTATTTACACATAATATTTTATATACAGGAACAGTTAATTTTAGATAGGAAATTATCATGGGATTTACATGTATGGTGTCAATGTAAGTACTTGTGGGTAGTCCTCTCAATTAATATGTTTCATTTTGTACACCATGGTCCCCAACATACAAGATATGGGGGTACTGTGAAAAATAAAGCTCAAATAAACACTTTTTCTAAGCTTAGGCCGACTAGGTTAGGTGGGTGGCTTGGGTTTGTGTATTTTAGAACCCCCTTATTGTGTACATTGTCACTACCACTCTTCTGGTCAAAAAAGGTGTCCAGCAACTGGACACCCTCATAAATACTGTCAAGCAGTATCCTCCCCCGCGATAGCAGCCTGACGATTAAATGCGACCTCAGCACACTATATAGATTTACTGAACAAAAATTTTACCACTTATGGGCTATTCCTGCCCGTGCCACCTCTTGGTTGGCTTATCTTCATCAATCAATGTACGTTGTGGCAAATAAAAATAATGAGCTGTGTCGTCAGTACTAGCTGTGCACATGCCCACACATTTTCTCCCCAACACATTCATATTCTCCCCCTCTACCACCCCCCCCCCCATCTCTCTCACTAACCCCTCACTCACACATCCCCCCCCCCCTCCCATCACTCATACAAAGTTAACTAAATAAAGCTGCCGAAAGAACATTAGAAAGTTCCCTTTTGCAAACAGAGTGGTAGACGGTTGGAATAAGTCAAGTAAGGTGGTGATGGAAGCCAAAACCGCCAGTAGTTTTAAGCGTTATACGTCAAAGAGTACCGGGAAGATGAGACACCACGAGTGAAGCTCTCATCCTGTAACTACACTTAGGTAATTACACATATATATACTGTTTTCTCTCCATTTACCCTGGTTCGTTTTATTTCACATATAGCCTTATGACCCGCTATTAGCCTTGTTATACCTGTTGTATTAAAATTTAACTATTCTGACGTTCAAATTCTTTGTCGAATCTGGACTTAAAGTTGTAGATAGAGGTGGCTTTCACAACTTCTAGTGCATTCCATTTGTTGACCACTCATACATGGTACGAATATTGCCTTACATTCTTCACCTCATTTGTGTTTCCAGATTCCATTTGTGTCCACTTGTCCTACCGTCTCTCAATTTAAAGAGGCTATCCCTGTCACCTTGTCTATTCCCCCCTCATTATCTTTTATGTTGTGATCATATCTCTGTTTCTTCTGTCCTACAGGGTTTTGAGGTCCAGTTCCTTCAACCTATCCTCATGGCTCTGAGAATAATCTAGTCACCTCTGTTCTGGCCTGCCTTTTGTGTTCAATAGTATTCAAACACACTGCACCATATATTTGAGGCTTATCTGGGATTTAAGGCTTATCTGGCACATGAGGAGTGATAACTGATTCTACTGTATAATATGTCCCAAATACAAACGTTCTTTCATCAAGAATACGTGCCTTGCCATTTTCTTTGATAGAATAAGCTACACTTTTTCATGAATTTACTTTACATTATTTTTGGTACATACTCAAAGAAAGGGAACCTCTTCATTAGTTCCAGTTCTGCTTCAGGAGATTTTGGGTCGTTGATGAGACACCATACCAGCTCCTGGACCCAAGTGGTTCCTGTAACAGAATACCATTAATTAATGTATTTCACCAGAATTTACTTGAGAGCTACCAATAGTGTCCAAGAAATGTATAAGTACTTCATTCATAATGATGTGCTGCCCGAAATCTTAGCAAAGTATCCAAAATTTGCTTACTGTAGGTAATGCATGCATATGACATTAAAGTTGCCGCCCAGTTGGGTGGGTGTGGAGCAAGATTAGTAATTCTGTGGCTCACCATAGATGTAAAGTGCCTTGTATAGTGACCGTTGTGAGCCTCTTGGCGAATCACTTGTGACACAAAAGATTAGTGATGTGTAATTACCTAAGTGTAGTTACAGGATGAGAGCTACGCTCGTGGTGTCACGTTTTCCCAGCACTCTTTGTCATATAACACTTTGAAACTACTGATGGTCTTGGCCTCCACCACCTTCTCACCTAACTTGTTCCAACCGTCTACCACTCTGTTTGCGAAAGTAAATTTTCTTATATTTCTTCGGCATCTGTGTTTAGCTATTTTAAATCTATGACCTCTTGTTTGTGAAGTTCCAGGTCTCGGGAAATCTTCCCGATAGATTTGATCAATTCCTGTTACTATTTTGTACGTAGTGATCATATCACCTCTCTTTCTTCTGTCTTATAGTTTTGGCATATTTAATGCCTCTAACCTCTCCTCGTAGCTCTTGCCCTTCAGTTCTGGGAGCCACTTAGTAGCATGTCTTTGTATCTTTTCCAGTTTGTTGATGTGCTTCTTAAGATATGGGCACCACACAACAGCTGCATATTCTAGCTTTGGCCTAACAAAAGTCATGAACAATTTCTTTAGTATTTCTCCATCCATGTATTTAAAAATAATTCTGAGGTTAGAAAGTGTAGCACCTCGCACAATGTTCTTAATGTGGTCCTCAGGTGACAGTTTTCTATCTAGAACCACCCCTAGATCCCTTTCTTTGTCAGAATTCTTTAAAGATTTCTCACATGATTTATAGGTTGTGTGGGGTCTATATGTTCTCCAATTCCCCTTTCCATAACATGGCATTTATTCACATTAAATTCCATTTGCCAAGTGTTGCTCCATATACTTATATGGTGGTGGCTCCAAGTGGAGGCTCTTTGGAGCCATTATCTGTATCAATAGCTGATACTGGAGATCTGGGGATGGGGTCCGTGGACGCGCCAATCCAATTCAAAAGCAGGACTGCAGTTGATGATTGATCACTATTAAACCACCCTAAAGGTGGCACGGGCATGAATAGCCCGTAAGTGGAGGCTCTTTCAAGCCATTACCGGTATCAACAGCTGATACTAGAGATCTATAGATGGATGGGGGGTCTTCATGTTGGATTTAAGCCTCGGAGGGCTGGCTGTACCAGCTATGGAGCTGGTGGGTTAGTGTAGACCTCCAGGTCTTCCGTTTTTTCTTTGGCCGAGCCGTGCTGTCGTTGGAGTTTGGTGAGGTGGCCTCCATGAGGAGGTCTTATACAGCGTAGGTATCGTATTGGATACAAGACACTCTGTACATTGACAACATCGCACACTAATATTTTTACCACTTCCGACACCAGCTTTGGACGTTTCGCACATGTGTATGTGATCACACACACACAGCCCCAGGATGCAGCCTTTAGCAGCTTTCTGACTTCCAGGTTCCTATTTACTGCAAGGTGAATAGAGGCATTAGTGTGTGTATGTTTGTGTGTGTGTTCGTGTATGTGTGCGTGTGTGTGTTTGTGTGTGTACGTGTGTGTGTTTGTGTGTGTACGTGTATGTGTGCGTGTGTGTGTTTGTGTGTGTACGTGTATGTGTGCTTGTGTGTGTTTGTGTGTATACTCACCTAGTTGTGGTTGCGGGGGTTGAGCTCTGGCTCTTTGGTCCCGCCTCTCAACTGTCAATCAACTGATGTACAGATTCCTGAGCCTACTGGGCTCTATCATATCTGCATTTGAAACTGTGTATGGAGTCAGCCTCCACCACATCACTTCCTAATGCATTCCATCTATTAACTACTCTAACACTGAAAAAGTTCTTTCTAACGTCCCAGTGGCTCATTTGGGTACTAAGTTTCCACCTGTGTCCCCTTGTTTGCATACCACCCGTGTTAAACAGTTTATCTTTATGTACCCTATCAAATGCTTTGAGAATTTTGTAGGTAGTGATCATGTCTCCCCTTACTCTTCTGTCTTCCAGTGTGGTGAGGTGCATTTCTCACAGCCCGTCCTCGTAACTCATGCCTCTTAGTCCTGGGACTAGCCTATTGGCATACCACTAAACTTTTTCAAGCTTCGTCTTGTGCTTGACAAGGTGTGTGTGTGTAGCACACAGGTACTTATGTGGTACGTATGTACTACATAATTGTAAGGCGTTTGCTGAATCAGAAAAGTCGGCTAGCAGTTCACCCTTAACGACACAATTAACTCATTACATAAAAAATACTTGGCTGTGCAACAGTGTGTGGGAATTGGGGAACTGGTGTGCATTCAGACGACTGGTGAGGACCAACAATGACGTAGAAGGATGGCATCTGAATCAAAGGGCAGTGAAGGACAACTTGGCTTTATATATTTTAATCCCCTTACTGTACCGTGAGGCGTCCCTGGTAACCTTCCAATACCAACGGGTTTCTGATCAAAAGCTGAAGTCCAGTCGCCGCAAGGGCAATGAAGCTTTGGGACTGTTACGAGGAAAAACAGATAAGCACCTCACAGTTCCTCAAGGAATGTTCGCGTTTTATCCCAGGAAGTGCCTGAACTAAAATTAGAAAACAGCAGTCTGTTTACTGGTTGTTATTTTACTTAAGTTAGTTGTAAATGATAATGTAAAAATAGCCACTGAGGTCTGATTAAGACTTTATGACCATGTAATCTATGTTTTGCTCCACTACTTACTGGTTGAGTATGGGGTGCATAACAAATAATAGCCTCCTTCGGCGGTGCCTTGTTTCTAAATGTGTTTCAAACTCACACTGTACCTTGTGCTACCTACTCCGTTAACTCAAACTTTGCTACAATGTACCTCTTAATATGTGTTACATATTCTCACAACCCAATGTACCTTCTTGTATATAAATAAATTAATTTTCAATTGTAAGGGGGTTTGCACCTTGTTTTTCTAATAATAGAAACCTCCCCCCTTAATCTGACCCCTTGCACGTGCAACCCGTTCTCGCACTTTCTTACAGTCAATATTGACTTATTAAATACGTGCATATGTGACATACTAAACATACTAGTTTCCCTTGAAAAGCTTCATAGAAAACACCGACCTTACCTAACCTTCTTAGTATGTTAAGATAAGCATCTTATTACTTCGTAATTATAATTATTACTTAACTTATACCTATAATAGGTATAAGTTAAGTAATAATCATAATTACTTTGTAATTATAATTATTACTTAACTTATACCTTTAATAGGTTAAGTAATAATTGTAATTGCGAAGCAATAAGATGCTTATCTTAACATACTAAAAAGGTTAGGTAAGGTCTTTGTTTTCTATGAAGCTTTTCAAGGTAAACTAGTATGTCACATATGCACGTATTTAATAAGTCAATATTGACTATACGAAAGTGCGAGAACGGGTTGCCACGTGCTATATAGTCCTAATGTCTTGGCGCTTTCCCCCTGATAGTTCTCTTCCCTTCCCTTCTCTGATAAGAGTTCACTTTGTTAACAAACACAGTAATACAAACAGTGCGTTAAGCACTGTTAATGGAAGCGCTAATTATAAAAGAATACATACATAGCATATTTGCAATCTTGTAAAGTCACTATCAAATTACAATTAAATTTAAAATTAAAAAAAAAAATAACAGGGTAAGATTATGTATATGAGTAAAATTTTACTATGACACTGAGGTAGATTCTTACATAAATACTAAATCTGCTGTAATTAGAGAATTATATGATCAAGTGAACACAAACCAGCGCATATACGAACGAAAGGGTATGAATGTATAAAATTCTCAGTGAACGAAGTTGTTATCCGAAACTGCAGTCGACGACTTGACCCCATTTGGGCTGCGGCGGTGGAGCTCCTATTAAGATTTCCTCATCTGAGGTGTCCGTAACAACCGTAGTTGGTGGTATTGTCTTCCATCTCGCGGCCTAAGGCAGGCTCAGGTGTCGGTGGATTAATGGTAGAAGATATTTCAGGAAGGTTGGTGGTGCTTTTAGTATTTGTAGACAGGATAGCACTATGGGCTCCTAATTTACATTAAAAAAACGCCTAATCTTTCACCACACGAGGCATTATGATAAGTGTAAATGTAATCAGTCATTCCTTCTGCCCTCTGAATTGCGAGCTAGCCACTTACATGACCTTGGCACTTACGTAATGTAAAAGTAATCTCTATTGGTTTTACTGTCCATACACAGTTTTAAAGATATTAATGTTATTAAGACCTCTACTTTTCCCTGAACTTTAATAATCTTTGAACGCCTAAAGTGCTCACACCTAATAATTTATATCGCACTAGTGCACTGTTATAATATGTGCAGCCACACCTACAGTTTTCCAAGTTAGAAATTGAAATGAGTTTATTGAGGTAAAATACACACAAAGGGATGAGGTAGCTCAAGTTATTCTCACCCCGTTCAGTACATCGTGTTAATACATACATAAACACACATCACAAACAATAAACGTATTACCGAACATTCTGAGAGATAAACATATACATTTCCTCCTTTACACAAGTATTTTTTTTCAGAGTTGGTTTCCTTTCACCTGACTCACCTGTCAGAAAGTCTTTTAAAATGACTGCTTGAGAGACAAAAAAATGTGAATTTTCACTATCATTCCCCTCCCTGCTGCCTGGAGAACAATCTCACGGTATTTAAGCATAACTAATTTAAAGAGCTATAGATAATAAAGTTAAACCAGATGTATCCAGATGTTTCTATTAGCAGTATCTGATAATGATTTTTTTTATTGAATGATGTCCTTAGGCTATCTTGACAATTCAAATTCAAATTTTTATTCAGGTAAAAGTACATACATTGATGAAGTTAGAAACATAATGTTGGATTTATAAGATAGAGCTAGTACATACAATACCTAAAGCCACTAATACGCATAGCGTTAATGGCTGAGAATTACTGACCATACGACAACGGTAGAGTTCCTCACCTGACTTTGGATAACGGTAGAGTTCCTCACCTGACTTTGGACAACGGTAGAGTTCCTCATCTGACTTTGGACAACGGTAGAGTTCCTCACCTGACTTTGGACAACGGTAGAGTTCCTCACCTGACTTTGGACAACGGTAGAGTTCCTCACCTGACTTTGGATAGGTGACAACCCATGTGTCATCCTTTTGAACAGGAAAGCTGGCGTATTTAGAGTACCAATCTGCGTAGAAAGATGGCAAGAAGGTGCGTTCGTGGCCCACCTCCAAGTACTCTTTGATGAACATGGACACGTGGCTCAGAGAGTCAGCGAGTGGACCCTTATAAAGCTCCATTATCACCCTGCAGAGAAAGCACAACACCTCAGATAACAACAGGCAGTCCAGAAATTAGGGAAAATGTTGTTAGTTGTTGCAAAAGATAAATCTATTCTTGCAATAGTATAAAGTCATTCCAGAAACACCATAAACGTCAAACCGATAAGCCAGGGTGAATCAACTTTATCACTTTTTCACTCAAAGAATCGCATTCCCGCCGAAGCTGTAAATGCCAAAATTTTTAAATTGCAAAATCCAAATGGAAAATATCATCGAGGAAATTAGGGGAACCTTTGACAAGCCGCCGGACTCTTGTGTTAATGACTCTCAGGTAAATGCTTTTGATAATTATACCTAACCTTAGTTTATTTTTTTTAATATTAATATACTATAAGTGTACTATCGTAAGTCCCTTATATTTAAGACCAATTTAAAGTTACAGAACATTGGATACATAAACCCATCGCACTTTTTGCTTAGATAAGTCACTTACTATTTATGGTTGTAATTTTGTCTCCGTCGACCATTGAGTTAAGAGAGTAATGGTCAAATATAGATACTGTCCTTAAAAGGTTTCCCACACTTTAATTGCACCCGGAAGATAACGTAATCTTGAGGATTATAAGATGTTAATTAATCTCTCTGATAAGTGTTCACTTGAGACAAGTCCCAGGTGCGTATGGGTACAGGTGACAGCATGAAGAACCCAACTGGCTTTTCTTCCTATTTGGGGAGTGTTAAATGGTTCATGGTGCCATGTTCACTCACAGGATGGATGACGTTGCCCAATAAAGTAACCCTCCCGTGACAAAATAAAAAAAAATGCTATTGCCTAAATGCTATTTAATTAAGCAAGTTGCAGCATTAACGAGGAAGCTCAATAGTTTTAACATACGTAGCACACTGCTGGGTATACCTTAGTTTGTTAATAAAAAAACACACACACACATCTATACCATAATCAGTTTATCAAACATAACCATTACGCGAAGAGGCCCCCTAACACAATTGTTGAAGCCTAATACAACAATTAGTGTCAGATTTCATGGGTTATTTACATACCCGTCACCAGGAGACTTCTCCATTATGAAGCTTTATATATATATAATGCCTATAGCAACAGTGTCAAACAGTTGTGTGGCGGTGATAGTGTCAAACAGTCGATTAACGTTGCGGAGAAAACCCCTCACACAGGAGCAGCAGCGAGCGCGTACACCCTCCACCGCCGACCTTGGCACACTGTCAACTAAACTAAGTTATGTAGCTTGGATGTGCAAAGGTCGGGTGGTGCGTTGAGCAAGCTCTCAGGCATCCACAAGGTCACTCAACTGGTTTACTACGTTGTCTGAATCTCGCTTAACAGAAGACCCCCCACGAACACTGATAGAGTATTCTAGTAACTCTATTAGAGTAGAGAATACAGAGTAGGAACAAAAATCATTCCAGAGTTAAGTCAACTCCCACTATCAGGAACGGTTGAAGGCCACAGGGATAACAATTTATTTATTTACTTATATATATATATATATATATTACATATACAGGAAGGTATATGGGATTTATGAATACATATAGCATTTTTTTTTACACTCTTATATAGCTACTAACACGTATATAGCATTTCGGACAGGTCCTTAATCTAACAGATAATTTTAAGTAGGTAATTTGTAGCAAAACTTGAAGAATGTTAACAGGCACATGGAAAGAAAATTTGAAGAAAATGAGTATTTTTATAGTAAAATTTTAGGATTATCAACAGGTTCATTGTAGCATAATTTTAGGATTATTTCTAGGTACATTGTAGTCAAATTTGCGTTCAATATAACAAAGATATAAGATGATATCACTGATATAAGATGATATCACTAGGTCCCTTTATTTGCATAGTGTGTTTACACAGATTTAGTTTGAATCGGGGGAGATATCAGAGATTTATTCCTGGTGTGGTGATTATGGGGTTCTGTTACATCTGTCAAAGAAGAGTTTCAGATCTGGATTTGCATTTAGGAACAAGGTTTTGTACATGTATATGGTACAAGAGAATGTGTGGAGTTTATGTTTAGCATGTTTAGGAAATGGTGTGGAGTGAAATGGGGGATGGGGGGGAATGGCAGAGTGGAAGGTGAGAAAGAGGATGCGTCGTAGAGTGAAAGGAGGGGATGTGGCAAGAGTGAAACGTGGGGAAGAGAATGTATCGGAGAGTAAAATGAGAGGGAGGATGTGGGATAAAAAGGAAGGAAGATGTTGCGTAGCATGAAAGGGTGGGAGGACTTTGCACTATAGAGCCAAGGGAGGGGGGGGGGGGGGTAGGTTGTGGCGTAGAGTGCAAGGGAGAAAGGATGTACTCACTTAGTTGTGCTTGCGGGGGGTGGAGCTTTGCTCTTTCGGCTCGCCTCTCAATTGTCAATTAATCAACGATCATTTTTTCACATACACACACACACACAGGAAGCAGCCCGTAATCGTTGTATAACTCCCAGGTACCTATTTACTGCTAGGTAACAGGGACATCAGGGTGAAAGAAACTTTGCCCATTTGTTTTCCGCCATCACCGGGGATCGAACCCCGGTCCCCAGGATTACGAGTCCTAAGTGCTGTCCACTTAGCCACCAGGCGTCGCTGTAACAGGGGGCAGGATGTGGCCCAAGAGAAAGATCGCAAGTCCTTTGATGTTTATACAAAGAATAAAGTTTATTTTTGTTGTTTTTATAGTTTAGTCCATTGATCATGCACCTCACACCCATCTTGTGAGGTGTTGTGAAGGGATGAGGCTCTTGAACTCAACCCTGACATTCGTTTAGCTAAGATAATTTTAAGTAATTTTAACTAACAATATCGCCCATGTCTACTACCTCTCCTGCCATCATATCACCATATTCAATTGCTTCCTCTGCCAATTCTTCCTCCATCGCTGCTGCCGCCTCCTGCAAACCTCAAGTGGCAGCCAACCTACAAATATTTGCTTACCGATTAACACGTTGGTTGACGTGCTGATGCAAGAACAATGCGGAGGGGGGTGCCCACCCCCCACACTGCATGCGCAGAGTGCGCCCTACCCCACACACACACTGTAAGCACAGGGATGCAACTTTTCATCTAATACTGTTCCTGGGATCTTCTTGCTTACCTTACCTTATTAATTAGTGTCCACAGGGGCTTGTGATGTCTTCCTCTTTAAAGGGTCCCGGTACAGTCGGGTTTGTTCTCGACGCACAATCGAGAATTCCGGCACACAACACAGAGATCACACTAACGTGATGCATCAAATGATGTAATGATGTAAGGGCGAAGAGGGGTTGTTATTGTTGTTATAGATTCAGCTACTCGGAACAAGTTCCAAGTAGCACGGGCTATGGTGAGCCCGTAACTTACCTGGCACAGGAGCGGAGCCAGTAGCACAGGCTATGGTGAGCCCGTGGTGGACTTACCTAGCACAGGAGTGGTGCTGAATGCGAAGAGGGAGAACAACCCCCCCCCCCTTGCACCCGAGCTATTGACATAGCTCGGGTGCAGGGGGGGGGGGGTAAAATCCTGGTTTGTGCCTCTGAGAGGCTACGGGATCCAGTAAGTTCAGTAGAACTTCGGTTTCAACCCTTTTAACCCTGTCGTAGCTCAGTCGATTAAGGCAGTGTCTGGGATGCTCCCGGACACAGGTTCGAATCCTCGCCACGGCCCTTGTGGATTTGTTCGAGAATTCCAGGTTCAAATCCCAGGCGGGACGAAAATGGTTGGTCACATTTCATTTCACCTAGAAGTAGTTACTCAGGAGATAGTCAGCTTGTTGTGGGGTTGCATCCTAGGGAGGGAAGGGAAGAGACCTCGATCTTCTTCGAGGCCTAACGTGTGAATACACACTGGCTTCCGATCCCCCGACACAATGAATTATTAATTATTATTATGCCCTGCCTACTAGCCTTATATCTATTGCTTTTCAACCTAATTATTTTGACTTTCTAATTCTTTGTTGAATCAAGCCTTAAAGATATGAATGGAGGTGGCTCCCACAACTTCCTCTGTTAGAGAATATCACTTGTTAACTACTCATACAGGGTACGATTAATTTCTTACGTCCCTTCGGATCATGTGTGTTTCCAGCTTCCACCCATGTCCTCTTGTACTGCTTTCTCTGTCTGGGGAGGGTGTCTTTGTCCACATTATCTATTCCCCTGAGTATCTTGCAGGTTGTGGTCAATGTGTTTCTTCTATCCTCCAGGGTTTGGAGATCTAGTTCCATCAGCTCATGTTTGTAGCTTAGCCCTCTTAGCTTTGGCACTAATCTTGTTGCAAACCCTTGTGCTGTACTTTTCCAATTTTGGCTTTTATGTTTCACAAGGTGTGGATTCCATACTGGTGATGCATATTCCAATATTGGTCAAACAAATGTTGTGTAGATTGCTTTGAAAGTCTTGATTTAGGTTCCTAAATAATGTTCTTATATTTGCCAGCATCCCATATGCTGCCAATGTTATCCTGTTTGTGTGTGCCGTCTGTGCGAGTGTCTGAATTATATCCTCTTTCTGATTCCTGTAGCTGTACTCCCTGTATGGTGTAAATGCCTTCTGGTCTCCTTTCTCATCCTCATTATTTTACACTTGTTACTCCAGAAGCCATTTGTCTGACCACTTCTGGAGTTTGTCAAGGCCTCACCTTGCGGTAACTTTCTGTACTTCTCATCTGTTTTCGTGTTCCTCATCAGCTTTGCATCATTTGCAAACAATGACATGTCTAAGCTCACTCCAGCGGGTAGGTCGCTCACATAAATGAGTAATAACAGTGGTCCAAGGACAGAGCCTTGTGGGATCCAGCTTGAACCCACCTCTCTCTCTGTGACTATTTTCTGACCTTCAGATACTCTCTTCTCCATCTTGTACAACAGTCTTTCATGGGAAAGTGTCAAAAGCCTTTTGACAGTCTAGAAAAATTGTTTACCCAACCTTTTTCCCGTCTCATTTTAGTAACCTTATCATGAAACTTAATCAGGTTTGTCAGGTAAACTTTTCCATTTTTAAATTAAATACATGCTGATTTTTTTGTCACAAAGTTGATCCTCTCAAGATGCTCCACCATTCTCGACCAGATTACTTTCTCCAGCACTTTACAAGGAATACATGTACTTGTCAATGACACTGGTCATTGTTTAATGCCTCCTTTCTATTCCCTTTTTAGAATATTCGGACTACATTTGCCTTTTCCAGACATCTGTGAGCCTTCCTGTCTAAAGGGTTTTATTAAAGATTTGAGGTATTATTGGTAATACGGGTAGCAGAGTACTTCTGCAGCCTCCCTTAGCAGCCATGGTGAGATTAGGTCTGGATCCATTGATTTTGTCATATGTAGCTCCCCCAGGATGTCTTCACTGCTTCCATTATAATTACAATGCCATCCAGTATTTCCTCTGGCCTTTCATCTTGCAACCTAGGTATCCATGATGGTTCTAATGAAAAGACTTTCTGAAATCTTTTGTCAAGTTCCTCATATATCTCATTCTCTGCAAGAGCTCTTCCTTGTTTCTTCAATTCGAGTATATGGTCTCTCATTGTTGTTTTTCTTCTTATGTGGCTATAAAACAGTTTTGGTTGTTCCTTAGCTTTTGCAGCAATGTCATTTTCAAATTGCCTCTCGGCTTCTTTCCTAATTCGGGTGTATTCATTCCTTGTTCTGCTCCTATCTTCATAGCTATCCACTGATACATGTCTTGATCCTCATACAATGTCAAAGTCTTCCTTTTTCTTAATATTCAGTGGGGCCTCGACTTACAAATTTAATCCATTCCCAGAGACGGGTCGTAAGTCGAAAATTCCTAAGTTGAAACGAATTTTCCCATAAGGAAATAATGTAAATTGAATTAATCCATTCCACACCCCCAAAAAATATTAACTTAAAAATACATTCTATACCAAATAACACTACAATACAGTATGTATATCTTACCTTGAATGAGGACTCATGTTGGCTTATGGAAGACGGTGAGAAGGGGGGAAGGAGAGGTGTTAGTCTTTGGAAGGGAAGTCCCCTTCCATTAAAACATCAGGCAGTGATGACTTTTCTGGGGTACTCTCTCTCCTACATTTTGCCTGCATACCACTAGGACCTGCTTGTGGCTCACTGCTTGTTTTTCTCATTAAAAACTTGTCTAGCAACACTTGTTTTTCCCCTATGTTGCAACACTTGTTTGAAGTGAGACATCACATTGTCATTAAAAAGGTTAACACAATGGCCTGTTACAGCTTGATTTGGGTGACACTTTTCAGCAAAACTTTGCAATTCTTCTCATACTGCACACATTTTCTTAATAAATGAGGAAGGGACTTCCTCTACTCTACATTACCAACCCTCATACCATTTTCATGTTTACGAATGATCTCTTTGTTTTTTCCTCTATAGTCATCCTCATGTGTTTTCTTAGGTTGAACCTTACCACTGACTTTCTTGGGACCCATGGCATGATATATAATACAGTAATTACTTTTATGTTAAAAAAAAAAAGCACAAAAATAATTAAATTCTTTACAAGCGCAATCGTCACTAAGCGGGCGGCTCTGGTAAACTGAGGCTGGGTTGGCTGTGCCAACAGGAACACGTGCTCGGTTGATCGAAACGTGTATGAACAAAGATTGTTAGTCGACGACACGGTCGTAAGTTGAGTCACATTTTCCAATGAAATTTATGTCATAACTCAAAAAATTCGTAAGTTGACAGATCATAAGTCGAGGTGTCATTGTATAAAATAAGTAGGTTGATATAAAAGAGGTCTTGCATTACACACAGAAATCACAATTGCTTGATGCATCAAATGAACAAATCCACAAGCCGCCCGCTTGGTGATGATTGTGCTTGTAAAGAATTTCATTACTTTCCAGTAAGTTTAGTAGAACTTCGGTTTCAACTCCTTTTGACCATGTCGTAGCTCAGTCGATTAAGGCAGCGTCTGGGATGCTCTTGGACGCAGGTTCGAATCCTCGTCACGGCCCTTGTGGATTTGTTCAGGTTTTGCATGCTGTTTACTGTTAAATTCCACTGATGATGAAGTTAAGATAGGCTACTTGGAATCTGGGTAAAAAAACAAAAACATTATTATTTAAATATACAAACTTCCAGGAGCGATGTTTGAGGAATTCACATACTGAACTTAACAGAAAACTGCTATATATTGATCTAACTTGAAGATTTCAATCTACCCAGTTCAAAATGGAGCAAAACAGGTAGGCTTTCATTTAGTTTAATTGGTTTCCTGTACACTCTATCTCTTATTTTCCTCTCTGAACTTGGTAGACTCAAATCTCCAGGTTAGATCAATATCCAGCAATCTGTTAAGAAGTGTTCTGCTATATTCAACAGTTATACAAACTCCTCAAAATTTGCATTTGGAGGTTAGTAACCAGGTTTGTGTTCTTTGCCTAGATTCCAAGTAGTCTATCTTACTCACATCATGTAGGAACTTTCATGTTAAACATAATACATTTTAATTTAGAATCACGAACCTAATAAAATCAGGAAAAATAGTACAAGGTAATACAGTAGAGGAAATTCAATGGTCAGACTGACATTTGCAAGTTTATTACAAAAGTTTTCATGTATTTTATTGTGGGATTTATTACCACTATTTTGTCGAGATCCATACAAACCATTACAAATATTATAAATACTTTATATTTTCATTTGAGCTTTGAAATATTTTTTTTCCCTTTTCACTTTTGTGCAATTTTTAATGGCACATCTAAATATGGGGAAACTTATAACAAATGATCTAAAGATTTTGAAAGGGCAAAATAGGTACAAATGGGCTGCAGTGCATTACATGGCATCATGAGCCCTGCATAGCACAATACTGACAGTGATTCCTTACCTCTCCATGAGCATTGTGAGCACTGCACACCACAGTACTGACCATGGTGCCTTACCTTCACATGGCACTGTATAGCACAGTACTGACAGTGACTCCTTACCTCTCCATGAACATTGTGGAAATTAAGTTCCTCTATTTCACGAGACACATTAACTCCACAAGACACGCTAAAATAGTTAAATTAAATGTAACCGAGGAAAGAAAGAAAATGGACTTTATATATAAATGATTGAATCATACACCAAGTGGACAAAGAGCCTGTTTTTGTCAAGAGGAAACAGATGTAAGCTAGAAACACAATCTAATGGGACATGTACAATGAAATCACAATACAAGATACATGACAAAGTATTGAAGCTGTATGACTGGGAGTTCAGGTACGAGGGTTCAATCCCATCCGACAGCTTCTATGGTTTCTCAATCCAAGGGAACTTGATGTACTCCTTCAATGTAAATATGGCAAAAAATGTGAAACATGTACAAGGTGGTGGTGGGACTCAGGCATATATTTCCCTTCTACTCCATCCAACTCAAATCTTAGTAACAGTTATGAAAAAGGATGAGGGTTGAGAGCAGTTGCACCAGACTACCAACAAGGAAAAGGAGTCCACAAACTGAACCTCCATATCTGCTACCCACCAACAGGTAAGCATTGCATAGTACTAATGATATCCCGTCTACCTCTACAGGTATGATGCGTAGCTCAAAGTTGTGAGTACTCTGTAGTATTTAAAATGTCCCTCATTTTCAACAGTACCTGGAACAACGGCTATAAAAATGTCAACTATAGAATCCATGTTCAACAAAACTGAAATGAAGCAAAATACATTTAGTCATCTATTGAACCAATATAATCCTGATAAATTAGCATGTACGCATTCTTCTCTTCTTGAGTCATCTTAGCAATGAGGGCATTGTCCACTTCTGTGATTGCTACCTTCTCTCCAGCAACGCTCACTTGCGGAACGGTGTCGTCATCATCAGAAACCATTAGTTCATTCTCCTCCACACCTTGAAACAAATAAAAATCAGTGTGCAATAAACAAAACAAATAAAAATGTTTGCACACTTGTATTTGTTTTTAATATTTTTAAGGAAGCAAGATTTTAATATTACAAAAATTTTATCACATATATAAACATTAATTTTAACAGCTACAATACATGAGAAACAATTACATTTATATTTAATTAGTGCTGTCCTATTTTGATAATTATATTGCCTTTTTTAAGTCTTAAACGTATTGTATCATTTCTATTTTTACAATGTGCCCCAAACTGTAATGCAACTCCAGTTTTGCCCAAAAGCTAATTGTGAGCTTGGCAATTTGAATTGTTATTATATTTAATTACTTCACTGTTGACTACAAGATATTTATAATATAACAATGAAAATGAATGTATATAGGTAAGGTGCCATCTCCATGAAGGAATGACAGGGTAAGTCAGAGCCCAGATTCTTGGAATAGTTTATCTTTCAGTATAAAAACCACACTCGTGGCGGGACCAAAGAGCCAGAGCTCAACCCCCCGCAAGCACAACTAGGTGAGTACTCGCATAACAGCAAAATAAAAGGAAAAAAACAAAAAAGTAGGTTATGGCGACCATATACCTGCAGTGGGTTTTGAGACTGCTACTCCCCAAGCCCGGCTTGGAGTCAAGCTTGACTTGTGATGGTCCAACATACTGTTGCATGGAGCAGCCCACGCACCCACATATACACTACAACCTGGTTGATCAGGTATTTCTAAAAAGAATATGCAGAATTTTCTCCTGAACACTTCCAATTTTGTTCTTGTAACATTTCTTATTTTGCCAGAAGGATATTGAATAGCCACAGACCTCTGATGTTCATTCTGTTTTCTTTGACTATATCTATGGTAACTTTACGGTATTTCTACTCTTCACTGGGTCAAGTAATAGATTACCTACCTTGTGGCTACTTTGGGGAGGTTCCCAGGATCAAAGGCCCCAGAGCCCAGTCTCTGACCAGGCCTCCCCATTGATGGTTTGGCGCGAGGTTCAAAAGAAAACCAGAATGGCTGTGGCAAGTGCAGGTTCAAGAGAATCAGTATGGCTGTGGCAAGTGCAGGTTCAACAGAGCCAGTATGGCTATGGCAAGTGCAGGTTTAAGAGAGAATTAGTATGGCTGTGGCAAGTGTAGGTTCAAGGAAGCGTGTATGACTGTGGCAAGTGCAGGTTCAAGAGAACCAATATGGTTGTGGCAAGTGTAGGATCAAGAGAGAACCAGTACAGCTATAGTGAGTACGTACATGACGATCAGTTAGCTGTGGTAACAGGTACACAGTCGAACATACCAAAGGCTCCATTAATAATGGTCATCCAATGAAAACTAGGAAACAAAATATTTGTACCCAGAACAGAGGCAGAACTTACCTCTAGACTCTGGGCCAAATGCAGTTTCAGAAGTGGCATTTGTTGCTCTCTTGGTTGTAGTCTCCTCAGCGCTGTCATCTGAGTCACTATCAGAATTGCGGCCGCTACCTTTCTTGGCTTTGCGTTCATGTGCTTGCAACAACATCATCACATCATCCGCTCCAGTACCAGACTGTTGCTGGTTATTGCTGACAGATGGAGCTGTTTTAACCTCATTCTGCGTACAGCAACAGAAAACAAAAAGTGTTAGTTAATAAACAAAACAAAAATACTGGGATAAACAAAATTTGTACTATCAAACATTCAGTACAACTCAAAACAGAGGACTTATTTTTCAGGTACACTACATATTAAAGTCCAGATATAGTACCTGCGGATTAACTGGTTCTGACGATGTAATGTTTGTGGTGATGAGCGAGTTGGCATCTGACAACCAGAAAGGCTTCTCCTTCGCCAAAACAGTTTCTTCTCCAGTGCCTTCTGCATTAATATTAACATCAATAGACCCTTCAACCTGCAATGTAAATTTGTTACAGGAATTGTAAACACATCCAGGTTAAACATGCAGTACTTTTTTAATTAAAATCCTTCCTTGCTCTCACAGTAAAAATTTTTATCTGATAAGATTATTTTAAATTTCAATTATCTACCATTCAAATAAGCAACTTGTTGAAGTATCTATCTTTTCTAAGATGGAATATACTGGAAATATTTGACCTTGTGAATTTGTGGTTCACAAGTTGGCCAATGAGGTGCTGTATGTTGCTTGTACATGATCAGCTTCTTAATCATCATTTATAATCTTTCCATGTCACTCACACGAGAGGACAGCAGAAATGTTTGTGCGATAGTGAAAGTTGGGAAACACCCATCTGCGAGTTTGTAGCAGAGCCCTTCCAACTTTGATACAAAGGCTTGGGGATAAAGTTCACCCAAAGGCCCAGATCATCCTCTAATGATATAAGCTTGTTTATCTTCTACACTATCCTACAATTATGATATATAACAGGTATTTAAGATTCATTGCACTTAGCAGCAGCCTCAAATGTAGACTGCTTGTATAACAGCACCTTCTTCCCCTTACCCTCCCTCCACACAAGGGTGCCGTTATGCTGGCGGCACTTGTACAACACCCCAAACACCTATGATTATTGACTAGGGAGCAAAGCCCTGATAAATGTAGCTTAAGTCTCAACAGAAGGCCCACTGCTGAAATGAATAAACAAACCAAACTTGAACATAGAAAAATAACCAATACATTAATCAGTTAAATCTGGAGACACGGGAGCAAGGTTTATTTCATGCACATGAGAAATGCCCATTGATAGCAAGAGCCTAGTGAAAACAAAACAATATCCAAAGACTAAAGCCAAATCAGTCAACTGAATATCGATCTTCATTACTAACCGAGGCATCTTGGGTTGCTAATTAGTGTTCAAAATAGCCGAGTTTTTGGAATGTCATTCTGAGCTGGAATGAGAATTCTTAAGTATCTCGCTAGCATCAATATGGCCTGGCAGGGACAATTTAAAACAATGCTCATTATGCAAATGCATATTGTTACCCTACCTGACTAAGCTTTCACCCATGATGGGGCCAGAAGATTCTTTGCCTTACAGAGCAACAACTTTGCATATTTCAGAAACTATTAAAAACATTCCAATATCAAGCTGATATCAAACACCTTGATATCTAGGAAACAGTATGTACAATACAGACCTGAAATCCAGACTTTTTGGTGGCATCTCCAGACCATGCACGACCCGAATCACTTCCTTGGTTCAAGGTTTTTATGGACCGCATTTGACTGTGAAATAAAAAAAATGTTTTGCTATTATAAACATCACCAAATTCCCACTCTTTATGTAGTAGGGCCTGCAACAGGTTAAGTTAGGTTTATGGTGGCTCTGTTCCATCTTTATGTCATTTCATATTCGAAAAGTAAGCAAAACGAATTCATATTTTTGTTTTCTCCAGTCTATATTTTTCTACATCCATTCATAGTAACTACCGATATAATTTTTGGACGACAGGTTGGCCTCTTCGGAGTTTGGGCTAGATTGTAGTTGGCTACCCTCTCATGAACTTATTGTATTTCATAACTTCCGAGTGTAGCATGGAGTCTCCTCCATTTTCTTTAGAAATTGAAACATCTTCATATAAAATAAACAAATGCCATTAGTGAAAACGTTACTTAATAAATTACATATTAAAGCAAAATGAAAGGGATCCATGTGAAAAAAGAAAGTGGAGGGTGACTGGAAAGAATATGGAACATTAACTGGTTGTATCTCCAGACTCTGGCTGCCAAGTCTGGAGAGAACAAGGCTTCTTGAGGTTATCTTGAGATGATTTCGGGGCTTTTTAGTGTCCCCGAGGCCCGGTCCTCGACCAGGCCTCCACACCCAGGAAGCAGCCTGTGACAGCTGACTAACACCCAGGTACCTATTTTACTGCTAGGTAACAGGGGCATAGGGTGAAAGAAACTCTGCCCATTGTTTCTCGCCGGTGCCTGGGATTGAACCCAGGACCACCGGATCACAAGTCCAGCGTGCTGTCCGCTCGGCCGACCGGCTCCCCAGCATGAGTGTAGGCTTCCTGTTGTCTGACTCAAAACTTTAAGCAAGATGATAAATACTTACCCTGGTTTCTTAAGGTCACTAAAGTCTTTGGGTTGAGGTTCTGAGAATTTGGCAGCTAATTTGATATTTTCGACCTGAAATAAAAAAAAATACAATTAGGCTACTCGAGTCATATTGTAAAAAAAAATTAACTTCCCAACCCATAATAAACTTTTATCAATGAAAATAAAATTTGCTTTGTTATGTCTTCATTTCTCCCTTGCCATCAGCTCATTGGAGAATGGTCATGAAGAATAGTCCTGTAGAGTACATCTATGTACTCTACAGGACCTTTTTAAAGTACAGGATAGGCAAGATAATTATCAAGAAAGTGCTAAGCCAGTATGACTACAGTATATAGCACGTGAAAAGGATGTGAAAAGGAGCTGGAATACGAGGATGGAGGAAAGGTAACGGTGCCCAGCCCCTTGGACTATCAAGAATCGAACGCCGACCCTGCAAGATACAAGGCCGTTGCTGTACGAACTAGTCCAAGTGGATAGACAAAAGGAAAGAAATATGCTGTAGAAGTACATAGCAAGGAAAACTCCTTTTAATAAATGTTACACATTGATATCAAGTAGGAACACACAACATTTTTTTAAAAGTCCAAAAATATTTATTAAATTAGAGCCGCAATTGGAATTGAGGATAACATATTTCTTTCCTTACAAAAGGAAAGAAATATGTTGTAGAAGTACATAACAAGGAAAACTCCTTTTAATAATGTTACACATTGATATCAAGTAGGAACACACAACATTTTTTTAAAAGTCCAAAAATATATATTAAATTAGAGCCACAATTGGAATTGAGAATAAAACTCGTTAGCTTCCTACCTCACGCAAAAGATTAAAGAGAGGCTCCATTTGTTCGTTAAATTTTGAGAGCAGTAAACGGGTGTCATGCCGTGGCATTCCTGACATATCTTCTTGTACTTCTTGCTTGCAAATGATGCATAATAGTTGACCAGTTAATATGTCAAGCAGCTGATCAGCCTATTTAAATGAAATATCTGCATTATTATTTATTATTAATATATCAACATTATTAAATATAAATAATAAATATACTGTATATATTTCTTCAACACTAATGATGACGACAAAAAAAACTAGGGAAAGCCACAATTATAGAATCATCATGAAAAGTAGTAGATTCTAGAGAGAGAGATCACTTCTCTCACTGAGGCAAACTCTTCATGTAACCAGCAGAGGATTCCTTTGACCCTGGCACAAATTATCTTGTCACACATTAAATTGACCCTTAAACATGCTTACAAAGTGCTATTCATAGGTACCTTAAAGTCACCATAATCCACTTTTCACCCATGTCATAATGACTATTTGGAACAAATATTTGCATTGCTTTTTGCACAGTACACATGAGTCTTAATTGATTGTAATCATTTATTATCATCTGCAATCTTATTAAATACTGTACTATTGTTTAGTTTGAGTATAAAATATATATACAAGTTTATCATATGTGGGCATGGCACAGTGGTTGATGTATTTGCCACTAGGTCAGTGAGGCGAGGCATCATTGGGACCGGCCAGTCACTGCAAGTGTAACTGGCAGGCAGTATTGCAGTCAGATAGGGAAACCTTGATAGTAGCAGCCAGCTGCCTGCCTCTAACAATGGTATACAGTACCAGCATACTGGAGAGAAAAAAACGTACCATATACACATCGGAAGTAATCCCGATATGTTAATGGGTAACCGGGCTGCCCACAAATCCCTGATAGTGTGATTGTCATTCATACTACATAAATATGTACAGCACTGATATACAATACTGGGTTAGATTTCTTTCCAGATTACAAAGTGACCACTGAAATTCAAACATTACAGTACAGAAGAATGAGTAAGGAGAAATTAGGTAAATACTGTACTGTATATGTATATATAAATATGAGCATAAAATATAGACTGTATATACATATATATCCTTTATACGACATGCTTGAATCTTCCCCAAGACAATGCTTGGGGACATGAAGTAATTTTATGAAATATCTGTGCCTGAAATAGTCACAAGCGCTGTCAGCTATTGGGGTAAAAGTCAGACAGCTTCCAAATACTTCTGTACAGTCACCGAGTAACTGCGTTATACTCAGTGTAACTGAATGGTCATAGTACTGGACACGCCAAGAGGCATGGAGGCCCTAACTGACCGGATTCAAATCCTTCAAGGATCAAGAGTTTTCTGATGCATATATACTTTAAATGCAGAGCATGTACCATACCACTCATACTTCTAAAGGAAATCTTGGAAAAAAACACACTTGTTAACATGATAATGTAACTGGGTAAACATTGTCTTCAATATGTATATCAATACTGTATACTGTACCTCAAGATCTGTGTAGGATCGTTGGCAGTAGTGACAAATAAAGGATGCTCGGCTTGTCTGGTCACGTTCCTTCATCTCTAGCTTTTTTCTAATATGATCTAATTTGTACTTTACTACATTGACGAAGCTCTGAAAAATACAGAAAAATCACTAATCCATATTAAAATAAGTAAGTAAATTATGACATCATAATCATCAAGATCTTGGAATCATCAAGACAATGATAGGTGCACAATCATTATAAGGTAAACTGATTTTTTACTCGACTACATAACAAAAATCAGGTGAGGAACATAATAAAACCATCCTCCCAAGGTTAAAGCACCGATACTGCCAAGTATTACACTTTTAAGATCCACCCTAGCCTTCCAGAAGCCAGAACCAGAATCTAACTGTCTGCAAGGTTATTTATACTAATTACCACTAAAACTGTATTGGTTTCCTACACACAAATTGGTTCATTCCTATTAAAACACTATTGTAGATATTGTCAGCACATCTTAAAATACCGAATAAGAAAAAAAGTCTCGCTTGTGATTTTATGTTAAAAAAAATCAAGACATCCATTGATATTAATTGGTCTGGATAATCAAGGACATGCTGTATTAAGGAGACTTAAAAGTACAGTAGTAGAGAAATTCAAGGAGGAGAATTGCCCCCAGTCAAAAGCATGAACCGACCAGGCATAGATAACATAACTGGTGACCAGAGGTATTTGGTTATGTAGCACATACCAATTTCCTAAGTATTTAACACAAGCCACCTTACCGAAAGTTCTTCTCCCCGTTTACCCCACATAACCTGCAGCCGGTCAAGATAGAATATGAAGAGGCCGGGTTGGGGTATCCATGGTGCCATCTGGTGCAATATAATTATAGGCACATCTTTATGATATAAACAGTAGTGTCTATGTATCAAGGAAATTCCACATACAGTATAAGAAGCCATTGTGTGCTATGCCATATATTGTGTACATACTGTACCTTGTAATCTATGAAGTAGTACTGCTCTTTTTGTGTCTTGTTATCCTCCAGTGTCACCATCTTCATTCTTGCTTGGATAAATTTATCAGCACGTAGCGTGTTGATGCGTTGCCGCAGCATCTTGCGGTCAAATTTAAGTAATTCGCATAGATCCTCTTCACTCATACCTGGGAAGTGATCACTTTCAGTCACTTAGGTGGTTAGAGGGGCCTAGTGAATTTACCTAAAGCCATAATTTTATTTTAACAATATAACAATAACAAAAATATTTTATTTTAATTTTATTTTATTTTATTTTAACATAAGCACTACCTTGACTAGTGCTTAAGGTTCGAAGAGCTACCAACATCTCCCCTCTCAGATAAATGTACATTTAATAAATGTTTTCTATAAAAATAGCAAAAAATTTAACAGAATTTGTTTCAATTGAAGAGGTTTGCTAAAAAGTCCAACAAAGAAAAGACTACACAGTACAATGAATTACAGAGGTAACCATATAACATTTTTATTGGGTTTCTACACCTAAAACCAAACAAAAAGTATCTTTTATTTTCAAAGTTCATGCACTATCAGGTTAGGTTGTGCAGAATGTGTGTGTCTGATTTGCCACCACCTTTGGATTAACACTCCTATAGTGGCTTATTCAACCTAAAAAGTAATTAGTTCAAACTTTAAAATATGTAGCCAAACAAAAAAACTGTACATTGTATATTGTATATTATAAACTGTATATTGTACTGTACAGTACTGTGAACTGATTGTGAAAATGATAGGTCAAAGTGAAACTTTGAGATTCAGAAATTTAAACATACAACATTTTTACAAACATTCATTCAGTAGCAAGCACAACTCACAAAAATTTCTGACAAGCATGTCAATAATGAGGACGTCTTCAGTGGTGTAGAAACCACGTACCACCAGACGAACAAGCATCTGCAAGTTCTGAGGTACTTCCATCAGCAATTCCCCGTCCATCTTGCTTATCTGGAAGTGGAAAAAATAAATTAAGTTTACTGGAGTTTCTGCGTGTGCTTATAGAGACAACGACAGAGAGAAATACCAAGATTAGAGTAGATATTATTTGTAGACGACATTTCCTTGCAAGGCTTTATCAAATCTAACAAATACTGTAGCATAAAATTACCTATTTCTGGCCACTCAAGAAAGTTATTGATGTTCTCAGTGGACTAAAAACCAATTATATTAAGTTTATTGAAAAATTTATCGAATGAATCTAAAGAGGAAACTGTTCTAGAAAATTACATTGTAATAGATGATGAACATGCAATACCATTGGAGATATTAACAAATAACAGTGACGTTCTGAGATTTGTCATCAAGCTAAATGTGGCCTCGGGCCGGGCTTGGGGAGTAGAAGAACTCCCAGAACCCCATCAGGCAGGTAGTCAACCAAGTGCCGGTCTCCAGACGGCAAAACATATTACCTACCCACTTTTAAGGGAATTCTAACAGTACAGTACAACAATGTATATTATGGACTATATTATAAACCTTCAATTCCATATTAGGCAACACTCCTAGAATACCAGACCTGGTTCCTGGATGTTCAGCCCATGACTGTCTGGAGACTAGCACTCAAGGGTATACAAGACAGATAATTACAAATGACTGGTATTCTAATATATTTCAATGAATGGTGGTTAAATGATAAAAAAACAACTGAGCATTAAAATCTGATAATCAAAAGACATAGTACTAGGATGTGTCAGGTGTTTTCATTTCATATTGTTTGACAAATTTTTCCGGCTCATATTGGATAACAAATTTCTTGGGAAGTGCTGACCATTAAAATCTCCAATGGTCCGTTCTGGACCATTATCAAGTCGATTGTGATAATGGTCCAGGATGAACCGAAACAGTCGTCGTCTCATCAATTTCTAGTGTGTGGTTTGGTCAACATTTTACAGCCACGTTATTGTGACTTTTCATCTGCATTTCCAAGATTTTTCTGGTTAAGTTTTATTGAAAGGTGTAAGCACAATACACTTTTTTAGGCACCCATGTCCTATGACCAGCAATCACCCATCACTGTACCAAGGCTATTCTAAATGCAAAATCTTGGCATTAGCTCCATTTACTTTTTATATACAAATTTATTATTATTATGTTCATGTATCCACACACCATGCCATCCAATATGACTATATATTTAGTTTTTCCGTATGCTCTTGATAAACATAGAACTATTCAGCAAATCTATGACTTTGAGAGCTGACTATATTAACAGTAAAACTAGCGTTTTCTTCAACCCATCCTTCAATAAAACAAGTCGTTTACCATTTTATTTGGGGAAAGTCCCTGTTATAGGTACATTATACAATTTACCCTCTTGTTATATGCACAATACTGTCTTGTAGGAGGATCGATTAGCCATTTATGGCTAAAGGATGGATTAGGCATAGTATATACTAGCTCCATCTAGAAATCCAACATTCGGCTTGTAACTCGTTTAGTATGTACTATGTACTTTTACCTAAATAAAGAATTATTATTATTATACTATCATCATCTCAGTAGTTAAGAATTGTCTGAATAATGAAATGTCACCCAACCTTAGGCTTGTGGATACATTGTACATAGGCCCACGGGAGCCCGCACTAATTGGATATAGGATTAAGGTCACAGCAATATGCCAACAATTCAAGTGAAACACCCAAAAAAATACCCATGGGCCTTATCCAACTAATCCACAATTCTTATAACTTGGCAAGGACATATTGTTCAAACAAATGTTAATATGCCTCAGACTATACAAGATATTCCATATACATATCTTTCAGACACTGCACTAACAGAATCAACACTAAATGGCCAATAAATATTTTTGAAGGCAAAATGGATAAAGGATATCGTTTTATCCTTTGAAGGATAAGGCTGTCACAAACTTTACCGACCACTTCTTCGCAACTCGATTCATTTACTTCAGCACTTATGGCTAAATATCATGCTTCTCTTACAGTAATTATAGTGAGTAGTTTGGATACAAGTCACTTTGATATAGTTTAAAAAAAAATAACGCATCATCATTATTAACAGGATTATTAACCTATGGAACCGCCTACCCGCCCAAGCCAAATTCAATTAACTTTAAAGATACAGCTGGAAAAAGATCATCAAATCCAATTAAGGGAGATGGGTCAGGCTTCCTGTCTTCGTGGAGGCTACTAGGGTCAGTGGCTCTCAGGTAAACCCAGATCAAGTGAGGTAAACTCGGATAAACTTTCTTTAAAGATACAGCTGGAAAAGATCATCAAAGGCAATTAAGGGAGATGGGTCCGGCTTCCTATCCTGGTGGAGGCTCTAGGGTCAGTGACTCTCAGGTAAACCCAAATCAAGTGAGGTAAACTCCGAGTGTATACCTATAGTGATGCTGGGCGTCTCTTGATAGAGGAGGCTGGTGGACCTCCTACAACACTCCTTCTCTCTCTCTCTTCACCTTCCTCGGGATTCAATTAAACGCCGTCTGTGTGCCTGGACATCTTGTCAAGTGTTAGATGATGATGATGGTGGCGTCGTGGCGTCCAGCTCGACTCCCAGACCACTCACATGTGAAGGGTTCGGATACCGTCAGTTCGTACACACGAATACCAGCTTAACACAAGACGATTCGACCACTGATTTTATTTAGGGGGATAAAAAGCTCATAAACCTAAGGCGAAACCGGTGTATTAAGCTCATTTTATGTTAATATTATATATTCGGCGTTTACCTTTAATGGATATTGTGATATATACACGTATATCATATAATAAATATATGTTTATATAAATATATAACAGTTTACCCCCCTAATCCGACCACGGTCTATAGTGCTTTGTGCGTTCCTACATGTCGGTGTATTTTGGGGATGTAGTGTACTGTATTTCCCTAAATTCTCACCTAATTGTGCTTGTCGGGGTTGAGCTTTGGCTCTTTGGTCCCGCCTCTCAACCGTCAACTGGTGTACAGGTTCCTGAGCCTATTAGACTCTATATCTTCATTTGAAACTGTGTATGGAGTCTGTCTCCACTTTACTAACTACTTTAACACTGAAAAAGTTCTTTTTTTTAATGTCTCTGTGGCTCATTTGGGTACTTAAGCCTCCACCTGTGTCCCCTTGTGGGTGTACCACCTGTGTTAAATAGTCCATCCTTGTCTACCCTGTTAATTCCCCTGAGAATTTTGTATGTGATGATCATGTCTCCTAAGTGTATTTACCTACGTGTAATTACCTAAGTGTAGTTACCTAAGTGTTACTATCGAAGTGTAGTTACCTAAGTGTAATTACCTAAGTGCAGTTACTTAAGGTTTATTACCTAAGTGTAATTACCTAAGTGTAGTTACTTAAGTGCTATTACCTAAGTGTAATTACCTATTTATTTATTTATATACAAGAAGATACATTGGGTTTATGAGAGTACATAGCGTTGAGGTTTTTACATTCTTGTAAAGCCAGTAACATGCACAGCGTTTTAGGCAGGTCATTAATCTAACAGATAATTTTAAGTAGGTAATTTCTAGCAAAATTGAGAAATGTTAACAGGTACATTGTAAGAAAATTTGACAAAGATTAATTGGTACATTATAGTAAAATTTGAGGATTATCAACAGGTAATCAAATTTCATTTGATTTGATTTTGATTTTTTGAGGTATATTTTAGCATAATTTGAGGATTATTTCTAGGTATAATGTAGTAAAATATGCGTTCAATATAACAACCATTTTATTAGATGATAGCAGTGATTACAATTGTGAATTTTATTGGCTTTGGCACATATTTATATATTGGGGGAGTGGGTAGCACAAGATACAGTACGTGTTTAAGGCACTTGGTAGGAAACTATGAGGATGAAATTAGGTAGTTTTGGGTTTTATTTTTGAATAAGGCGTTGGTTGGACAGATTTTCAATTCTTTAGGCAGTGAGTTCCATAGACTAGGTCCCTTTATTTTCATAGAGCGTTGACACATTTAGTTTGACTCTGGGGATATCAAAGATATATTTATTTCTGGTGTGATTATGGGTTCTATTACATCTGCCAAGGAAGAGTTTCAGATCAGGATTTGCACTTAAGAACAGGGGTTTTGTAAATGTAAATGACACAAGAGAATGTGTGGAGTGAGTTTATGTTCAGGGATTTAAACAGGGGGGACTGTGTGTTGTCTGAAAACATTTTGCTATTGTTCTGATAGCAGATTTTTGCTGGGTGATGATGGGCTTGAGGCAGTTTGCAGTGGATGAACCCCATGCACAGATACCGTATGCAAGATAGGGGATAGATTAGCGCATATAGTATAATGAGACTATATGCGCTATATTAGTTTAGTTCATTTATTATGCACCCCATACCCATTTTATGGGCGGTAGAAAGGCTTACAGAGGCACATGATGGGTTCGGGGAATGAGCCCCACAATTCATTTAGCTAAGCAAGTTGCAATCTTGATGAGCTAGTTACAAAATTCAATGCACATCGTCACGTCATCAATGGACTCGAGACCGACCACAAGTACAGTTTCTAAATTAAGCAACTGACATACGTGGAGAGTTAGTGTCACAATTGATATGTTTGTCCTGCACACCGCCCCCTATCCAGTGGGCAGCGGTGGATAGGTTATAATCACTTAGTTATTACCTACAGTTAGCAAACGGGACATTTGGCTAAGATTTCTGGTAGCAGATCATTTTTAATTTACACATCTCTGGTACATTTGTTATAGAATTGAACCATAAGTGATCCAAGGTGATAGCGGTTGTTTGAGTGATTCGGTTGGTTAGTTAATTCATTAATTATGCACCCCATACCCATCTTGTGAGTAGTGGAAAGGGTTACAGAGGCACATAATGGGCTCAGGGACTGAACCCCACAATTCGGTTGGGCTTGGTGATTGTGGGGATTAGCATACAGTTCATGCTGTTTAGGAAATAATAAACTTGAGAGCTATTTTGTTGACACAGGTCAATATTGAAGTCTCCTCTCCTAGAATGATATGATTTGTGTTGAGCTTGTTGTTTATGATAAGATTCCTTAGGTTATCTGCGACTGCAGTTATATTAGTACTGAGAACTCTATAGATAGTTCCAATAGTCAAGGAGGAATTAAGGGATTTAATCGAGAATTGAGCAAAGATATATTCACAGTAGTCGTCTCTATCACTAATGACATATTTGTAAATTAAGGTATTTTTGTAATAGCTGTGCCACCTCCTTTTTTTATTTGGCCTACAATTGTGAATGGCATTATAGCCGGCTAAGTTGTAAGGTTGAGTATGGTATTTAATTAGCTATGTTTCTGTTATAATACTGAACGATAGTTTAGTGCCTAGTGGTGTGAGTAGTGCATTTATATCATCAAAATGTTTACCAAGTGATGGGACATTTTGGTTGAAAACTGATAGGCCAGTGTTACTTTGGAGTTTGTCTTTTGCAAGGTTTGCTGTGTAATACCTGCAGTAGTGATGATCAATATGCTGATTATTGTAGATTTGTGACAGCAGATTTAGTTCAGGGTCAATATCAGCTTGCATGTACTGTAGATACAATGGAGTCAAGATACAATAAAGAAAGCGATTACAGAACAGTGAAATACTAAATTGCTGTAAATCTACTTGGTTTAATTTTTACAAATTATAGTAAATTTTTGATTGATAATCAGCAGTATTAAAAAATAAAATTATATAAATGGAATACAAGTAATAGCAAATAACAATACAGTAAGTAATAATGAAGAAATTAACAATATAAAAAGGTGAGATAAACAAGAACAAAAAATGTAATATTAAAAACCTTTAGAATGGAAAGGCAGAGCTACGGTACACTTTGGTTTCTAGATGAAACTATAAGTTACACTCTGGGGCTGAGAGGGTTCTGTGGTAGAGGGGATCCCTGGGGATAGAGTTCACTTGGCATCTGGGTATTCAGCCATTAACCCACAGTCAGTGAGGAAAAATCTGAGGTGCGCCTCAGTGGTTATTTCATAGGTTTTCCCAGTGTCAGACGTCTTAGCTAGTGTTTCACCACCTCTTAGAAAACAATGTTTAATTGACCCATTGGAATTTTTTACGGACTTGACGCAGTTTAAAGAAAAGATTTTGTCTGTTCCTGGGCAAACATTCATTCACATAAACATAGGTTTTATTAGACACTGCAATTCCAATAAGGTCTGATTTGCGCGAACAGCTACGTACCTAGTTTCACACGAATTCTTCTGTTATTTACATCATTTAGAAACTTACTTAAGCTAACCTAACTCAACCCCAACGTAACCTAACCCAAACCACCCTAACCAACCCAACTGAGCCCAATACATCTTAACCTAAGCTAATACAGTCTAGCATAATAATATATACACTTTGAACGAACAGAAAACGAGCTTCGTCGAATCGTTCGTCGAATTAAGGCAGGTCCTTAATCCTAATATTCCCTGGAATACGACCCGCCAAATCGTTTAGCAATCAGGTGCCCATTTACTGCTGGGTGAACAGAAGCTGCAGTTAGGGACTGCCGCCCAGTCAATCCTCCCCGGCCAGGATACGAACCCAAGCCAAAATCGCCCGCGAAAACGCCGGGCAAGAGATTGACCACTGCACCCACGGGAATTAACAACGTCTCCGTGCCTTGGATTGTCAATGAGCAATCTGAGAGCAGCAATACACCGAGAACTTCAACAAGATCTTGTAGATCTGAGGCAAAATGAAATCGACACCAGTAATTCCATCTATCATCATACTATCATGCAAGAGGAGCCACACATCTATGGTTCATCCAATAAAATCAGCAGACTTCTAGATCAAATCAAATCAAATGTTTATTTAGGTAAGGTACATACATACAAGAGATTTTACAAAGAGTGATGGATTTATAGTTAGGGCTAGTACATACAATGCCTAAAGCCACTATTACGCAAAGCGTTTCGGGCATGTTACTACTGCTCGGCTTAGACTCGGTTACAAGTATCTCTGGGAATTCTCATTATCTGCCGATGTAGACCTGACCAAATGTAAACTGTCAACAAAATTATTCGCACACCCTCCGTCACTATGTCATGGAGTGCGAAAAGAAATTCAGAATTTCAAAGACAATTCTAAAACGAATGTTCCAACGATGTGTAAATATTTCATTCAAAATTATCTGCTACCAGAAATCTTAGCCAAATATCCCCAGTTTGCTAATTGTAGGTAGTAACTAAGTGATTGTAATCCTGGCCGGGGAGGATTTACTGGGCGCAATTCCTTAACTGTAGCCTCTGTTTAACGCAACAGTAAAATGTGTACTTGGATGAAAAAACGATTCTTCGCGGCAGGGGATCGTATTCCAGGGACCTGCCCGAAACGCTACGCGTACTAGTGGCTGTACAAGAATGTAACAACTCTTGTATATATCTCAAAAAAAAAAAAAAAAAAAAAAAAAAAAAAAAAAAAAAAAAAAAAAAATCCACCGCTGCCCACTGGATGGGGGGCGGTGTGCAGGACAAACATATCAATTGTGACACTAGCTCTCCACATATGTCAGTTGCTTAATTTAGAAACTGTACTTGTGATCGATCTCGAACCCATTGATGATGTGACGACTTATACTGAATCTTGTAACTAGCTCATCAAGATTGTAACTTGCTTAGTTAAATGAATTGTGGGGTTCAGTCCCTGAGTCCATTATGTGCCTCTGTAACCCTTTCCACTACCGCTTACAACATGGGTATGGGGTGCATAATAAATGAACTAAACTAACTAAACTCCGTGCCGGGACATCTTTACCTAAGTTTGCGTGAGAGCCACTAACACTAGGGGGGGGGGGCCTCGACGAGGACAGAAAGCCGGCGGTTTGTCACCGTTGACAGCAGCCACACACCGTTGACAACAGAAGGGGTACACAATATTGACCTTCGTGCCGACAGTATCAGGCACTGTATCCCTGACCATCTCACCTGATCGTTATCTTCCGTGAGGAAGTTTGGTTATCTCTCGTTATATATTTGTCTGTGGGGGGACTCCCACGGCCACCCTGCAATGTGGGAGTGGGGACTGGGGAAGGTATGTGGGAGTGGGGACTGGGGGAGGTGTGTGGGAGTGAGAGAGGCACGTGAGACAGGGGTCTGCATGGGAGTGATGTGGTAGAGGGGTGGGAGTGGTATTGGGGTCTGAAGGATCAGATGACTAGCCATTCAATAACCACGCCACAGCTCTACGGTGGAAACACCACAATTTACCAGGAGGATTTAATACCAGTAGTAAAAATGACCCGAGGTCTCTGAAAATTGGCTTTACTAATTGTGCTCTACATTTGACTTAAGACCGAGACAAATCAGTGAAATAAATGGAGTAGTGCACTATGCACTCTCTAAGGGGAGTAATTACCTAAGTAGTTACCTAAGTGTAGTTACTGGATGAGAGCTACGCTCGTGGTGTCCCGTTTTCCCAGTACTCTTTGTCATATAACGCTTTGAAGCTATTGACGGTTTTGGCCTCCACCACCTTCTCACTTAGCTTGTTCCAACCGTCTACCACTCTCTCTTTGCAAAAGAAAACTTTCTAATATTAAAAAAAAATCACCTTTGTTTCCTCAGCTTGAATCTGTGTCCTCTTGTTTTTTTAGTTGCTGCTTTCAGGAATTCCTCTTTGTCAATTTGTTCGATTCCTGTTAGTATTTTGTAAGTGGTGATCATATCTCCTCTTCTATCTTCTAGTTTTTGCATGTCTAATGCCTCCAGTTTCTCCTCGTAACTCTTGTTTTTCTTTTAACTCAAATTAATCTGAAAAAACAAATCTTGTTTTTCTTATTTCCTAGTAACTTTTTGTTTTTCGGAAGTTTCAGTTTCAGTTTCAGTAAGGACACTGTCTGTCTCCAAGGGAAATGAAGTCTCAAGAGTATGTTTAATATTAGGGGGCAAGGATTCGGGGTAGGACGGTGGGGAATGAATGGTGCCCCAACCACTTAAACCATCGGGGGATCGAACGCCGACCTGTAAAAAAACGAGGACGTCAGCTTTTCTCAAAAAAAAAAATAATGCAGAAATATTATGGTAACCTTTGACACCCGGTTATCTTAGGTCAGGTGTGTGTGCTGTCTCAACACTGACTCCAGCAGTTTGATAGAGTTATATCACATACCTCTGGCTCACGGAGCGAACACTCCTCACAGATAGAACACGTTTCACACACAGAAAAGACAACTCACAAGAGAACAGTTCTCACAGAGAGAACACTTCTCACAGAGCGACGGTTTGGTCGAAAGCATTAAAAATTAGGTGTTTTAAGTGAGAGAACAGGTTGGGGCATCGGGCCCAATACCTTTCAAACTAGTTAATTTAGTTTAGTTCATTTATTATGCACCCCATACCCATCTTGTGGGCGGTAGTGGAAAGGGTTACAGAGGTTCATAATGGGCTCAGGTAACCCTTTCCACTGCCGCCCACAAGATGGGTATGGGGTGCATTTTCAAACTACTGCCTAAATTGCCTGGTTTATTCGCAGTCAAGTGACTCCGATACAATGAGCTACTTTAACTCCACTTGACGGGGACTGGAAACTTCCAGTAAGTTCTCTCTTCCCCCCCCCCCCCCAACCAGTGTCAATTACTGACCATGTCCAGGGTGCAACACATAACAGTTGCTTAACTCTAATCGCTTGGTGAACAGAGGCAGCAGATGAAGGGAAACGAGCCCAACCATTTCCGTCTCATCCGGGGATTGAACCCTTTGTTGTGAGGGAAGGACTAGGAATCACTTCAATAATTACACTAGTAATTCTGAAATAAATCAAACGAAAAACAAACATTGATGACAAAACAAATGACGCAAGAGAAGCGCAGTGCATTATTGCGTCACACTAACCTCAGCTGACAGTGAGTGAAGCTTTATGTTTACTCATGAGGGTTAAAGTCACTCACCAGGGGACCGTCCCTCAGAGTACACCTTAGGTGATCTTTTAATCCTGAGTGATAGTGGAAATATTACAAAAGCAAGCGCCTCAGATTCAAGTTCAAGTATGTTTATTGAGACAAGAAAGAAATACATCTCAAAGGGATAGAGTAGCTTAGGCTATCTCTACCCCCCCCCCTAGCACCTCAGAACTGAACCCCAGTATTCGTTCAACTAAGCGAGTTACACCATCTATTTAGACTAGTTACATAATGTGTTAAAGTTGACATTAATAGTCTATTCACAGTTCAACCTAATCGTGACCTTAAGAGACCCTAACAATGAGATTTAGTTTGTTAAAGTAGGTTATCTTGGGGGTCTCTTTCTCATCCTGTGGATAAGAGAGAAAACGCTTCCAGTTTCACATAATGGGTTTAATATTAGGCTAATATGATTTCTAAGCTAAGTATTTTACATTTGTAGTGACCTAGCTATATATAATTTGAATTTGCTTATCATGCCAGCCCGTTCTCGCAAGCGTCACCAACGTCAAGAAACTGACTTACTAAAGTGCCTGATCCTAACCTGCCAGAGGACCACTGAACGGAAAAAAGGGACAGTATGTTAATCTCGCGAGTCGGTACAATTTTCTAGTACGACAGTTTTTTTGGTCTTGGGTTAGATATACGTCAAAATGCGACGTTCTATTAGGAGGACGGGTTGGTCGTGCACTCCCAGACACCCATCCATCCACTGGGCGCCAGTGGGAAGCTTACTGTCACGTACAAGGACCTAGAACAGGCGAACATATGATTACTTGGCCAAAATTTCTGGTATTACATAATTTTATGGTATTACATTATTTTGTATCATATACTTACACATTTCTTTAACATTTATGTTAGTTATATTTATTCATGAACGTGTTCAAATTCGATTTTACAGTAATGTAATATATATGAACAGTTTCCCCTCTGACACAGTTGAACATTTGGTCAGATCTACTCCAGCAGATGGCGCCAATTGTCGAAGCAAGGATGTGTACACAGACATAAATGAGTAGTGTATTCCTCACACTCGCCAGCAGCACAAAAAATGAGTGTCGGAGAGTAGCGGGGGAGGAGATATGTGGACATGTCTCGGGGAAGGTCGGGGAACTCCTCACTCTCACCTTGACGACCGGACAGTGTGGATGGTAAGAGTCGCATCCCGGCCTCTCTCATCTTTGGAGTCCACTTCGCCAGTTTATAGATGCAAATATAGTCCAGTTAAAATTGGAGCAGTGCCGTCAATCTCGAGGCGCAGTTATGGAGCCTCGTAGCAAGAAAACGACCAGCAGGATTGCCGGCGATCCAATGGCCGTGACTTGGATGGAGAAATACAGCGAAACCTTAGAGAACTACTGGAACATGTTACCAGGCTTCGTTGGAACCTTCATCGCCAGCGTGGCCGTGTTCATCCTTGGGTCAACTATCAGAGGTAAGATGATGTTGCTGTTTTAGATTTAGCCTCTCAGAAGGAAATGTCTAAGTAGCACGGTCTATGGTGAACCCGTAACAGAGGTTAGATTCTCATCTTCTCTCTGTATTTTCCACCCCCTCTCTCCCCCCTCTTTTCTACAATCACATTCCCCTCTCTCCTTGTTTACAATCCCCCTTTCGTAACCCGTCATCCTAATAGAGCGACGCATTTTGACGTATACTCTACCTAAGATCAAAAATCGTTGTACTAGCATATGGTAGCGGCTCGCGAAATTGACGTACTGTCCCGTTTTCTGTTTTGGGTCCTCTGGTAGACTACGATAAGGGCACTTTAATACGACAGTTTCTTGACGTTGGGAACTTTAGGAGACCGGGCTGGTCTACCACCACCTCGCGCGGATATTTCTAATATATATATATATATATATATATATATATATATATATATATATATATATAATATATATATATATATATATATATATATATATATATATATATATATATATATATATATATATATATATATATATATATTCATTCATGTCGTATATAATGTGGTGCCTCGCGTGCATCTTTGCCTTAATTTAAATAAACATCATCTACATACGAATTCGTGGAATCTTATTTAACGAACCTGTGTTCATATGCTAGTACGACGATTTTTGGCCTTAGGTAGACTATACGTCAAAATGCGTCGCTCTGTTAGGATGACGGGTTACGAAAGGGGGATTGTAAACAAGGAGAGAGGGGAAGGTGATTGTAGAAAAGAGGGGGAGAGAAGGGGTGGAAAATACAGAGAGATACTTCAAAGTGTTGTGATACACAGAGCCCGTATTATGCATCTTAAAATCAGTGACGAATACATTTTATATATAATATTTATAACATAAACTGGAAAAAGTTATGGTACACATATATAAAGCAACAAAAATGAAGAAAATTATTCATTGTAGGCAGTGAATATTAATGTGAGTAGATGGGTCTTTGTCAAGGTCGCTGGCTATCAGTAGGATGCGGGAGGTGCTAGCTGTTGTTGTTGTTTAAGATTCAGCTACTGGGAACAAAAAGTTCCAAGTAGCACGGGCTATGGTGAGCCCGTAGGGGACTTACCTGGCACAGGAGCGGTGCAAGTAGCACGGGCTATGGTGAGCCCGTAGGGGACTTACCTGGCACAGGAGCGGGGCTGTAACTTGGGTGCTAGCTAGGATAGAGCCTGTATATAGTGTAGTCTTGTAGTCGCTAATATTAGGGATGGAGCCCCTTGTGTCCGCTTGTGTTTGACACATGAGTGTACACAGTGCTGCCTTCTTGAGCAAGGTCTAAGACCTGAACAAATTTCTGTCAATCTACATCTCTGCTCTTTACCCAGCCTAACCTAACCTAATCCAGCCCAACCTAACCTAACCTAATCCAGCCCAACCTAATCTAACCTAACAGCCCAACCTAACATAACCTAATCCAGCTCATCCTAATCCAGCTCAATCTAACCTAACCTAATTCAGCCTAAAAAGTCAGTCCTCAGACAACTTGTGTTCACACAAAAATATGTGACTCGGCCTCCAGTTTGTACGACAATTGACCTGAGGGCCACCATCTCCAGTGACCTCGACGGGGGACAGAAAGCCGGCGGCTCAGCTCTATATATGATGATCAGGCTTGATCATCATATATACATTAAACTTTGTAACTAACTTATCAAGCCCGTAACTTGCTTGGCTAAATCAGTAATGACAGGGGTTTAGACGAAGAGTCACAATAACGTGGCTGAGGATATAATGACCAAACCACACATTAGAAATTGAAGAGATGACGACGTTTCGGTCCATTGTTTTCCGTCTAGTGATGACGCGGTTTGTACCTACGCAGTCATCGGGAGAACAAACCCTTCGTGCAAACTGCATCTACTATCAAGAAGATAATGCGGTTTGGTCATCGTGAGAGGGTTCAATTCCCTCACTATTAGGTACCTATGACCATTCAAGTATCTATGAACCAAATCAAAATCTGTCCAAAAAAGGTAAATAGTTGACCCGTGATCGCTAGGCTGTATTTCTCGCTATATATATTTTAGTCAGCCAAAATACGTATATATATATATATATATATATATATATATATATATATATATATATATATATATATATATATATATATATATATATATGTGTTCATCCTTGGGTCAACTATCAGAGGTAAGATGATGTTGCTGTTTTAGATTTAGCCTCTCAGAAGGAAATGTCTAAGTAGCACGGTCTATGGTGAACCCGTAACAGAGGTTAGATTCTCATCTTCTCTCTGTATTTTCCACCCCCTCTCTCCCCCCTCTTTTCTACAATCACATTCCCCTCTCTCCTTGTTTACAATCCCCCTTTCGTAACCCGTCATCCTAATAGAGCGACGCATTTTGACGTATACTCTACCTAAGATCAAAAATCGTTGTACTAGCATATGGTAGCGGCTCGCGAAATTGACGTACTGTCCCGTTTTCTGTTTTGGGTCCTCTGGTAGACTACGATAAGGGCACTTTAATACGACAGTTTCTTGACGTTGGGAACTTTAGGAGACCGGGCTGGTCTACCACCACCTCGCGCGGATATTTCTAATATATATATATATATATATATATATATATATATATATATATATATATATATTAATATATATATATATATATATATATATATATATATATATATATATATATATATATATATATATATATATATATATATATATTCATTCATGTCGTATATAATGTGGTGCCTCGCGTGCATCTTTGCCTTAATTTAAATAAACATCATCTACATACGAATTCGTGGAATCTTATTTAACGAACCTGTGTTCATATGCTAGTACGACGATTTTTGGCCTTAGGTAGACTATACGTCAAAATGCGTCGCTCTGTTAGGATGACGGGTTACGAAAGGGGGATTGTAAACAAGGAGAGAGGGGAAGGTGATTGTAGAAAAGAGGGGGAGAGAAGGGGTGGAAAATACAGAGAGATACTTCAAAGTGTTGTGATACACAGAGCCCGTATTATGCATCTTAAAATCAGTGACGAATACATTTTATATATAATATTTATAACATAAACTGGAAAAAGTTATGGTACACATATATAAAGCAACAAAAATGAAGAAAATTATTCATTGTAGGCAGTGAATATTAATGTGAGTAGATGGGTCTTTGTCAAGGTCGCTGGCTATCAGTAGGATGCGGGAGGTGCTAGCTGTTGTTGTTGTTTAAGATTCAGCTACTGGGAACAAAAAGTTCCAAGTAGCACGGGCTATGGTGAGCCCGTAGGGGACTTACCTGGCACAGGAGCGGTGCAAGTAGCACGGGCTATGGTGAGCCCGTAGGGGACTTACCTGGCACAGGAGCGGGGCTGTAACTTGGGTGCTAGCTAGGATAGAGCCTGTATATAGTGTAGTCTTGTAGTCGCTAATATTAGGGATGGAGCCCCTTGTGTCCGCTTGTGTTTGACACATGAGTGTACACAGTGCTGCCTTCTTGAGCAAGGTCTAAGACCTGAACAAATTTCTGTCAATCTACATCTCTGCTCTTTACCCAGCCTAACCTAACCTAATCCAGCCCAACCTAACCTAACCTAATCCAGCCCAACCTAATCTAACCTAACAGCCCAACCTAACATAACCTAATCCAGCTCATCCTAATCCAGCTCAATCTAACCTAACCTAATTCAGCCTAAAAAGTCAGTCCTCAGACAACTTGTGTTCACACAAAAATATGTGACTCGGCCTCCAGTTTGTACGACAATTGACCTGAGGGCCACCATCTCCAGTGACCTCGACGGGGGACAGAAAGCCGGCGGCTCAGCTCTATATATGATGATCAGGCTTGATCATCATATATACATTAAACTTTGTAACTAACTTATCAAGCCCGTAACTTGCTTGGCTAAATCAGTAATGACAGGGGTTTAGACGAAGAGTCACAATAACGTGGCTGAGGATATAATGACCAAACCACACATTAGAAATTGAAGAGATGACGACGTTTCGGTCCATTGTTTTCCGTCTAGTGATGACGCGGTTTGTACCTACGCAGTCATCGGGAGAACAAACCCTTCGTGCAAACTGCATCTACTATCAAGAAGATAATGCGGTTTGGTCATCGTGAGAGGGTTCAATTCCCTCACTATTAGGTACCTATGACCATTCAAGTATCTATGAACCAAATCAAAATCTGTCCAAAAAAGGTAAATAGTTGACCCGTGATCGCTAGGCTGTATTTCTCGCTATATATATTTTAGTCAGCCAAAATACGTATATATATATATATATATATATATATATATATATATATATATATATATATATATATATATATATATATATATATATATATATATATATATATATATATATATATATATATATATATATATATATATATATATATATATATAGGCTTTAATTTATGCCAAACTGTATCCCCACCTTATATACAATATCATACAAGCAACGTTGCGAGATAAGGGCACTGTAGGACACTCCACAAATGGGATCTGAACAAATACAGTCTGGCGGGTTTTGGCATTGTAATAAACAAGATTATGACAAAGATATCATTTTCAAGGGATGAGTTTCAAGATAAGAGACGGGGCAAGATGGAGTCAGTCGGTTTCCTCGCAGGTTCGATCCCAAGGAACAGCCTCGATATTTTTCTCAATGTACTGATTTATAATTTATGGGATTATCACCTGTAGCTTACTTGTAAGGTTATATTTTCAAAATCCGACTTTGAGGGTTCTATTCTCAAAATCCGACTTGGGAGCGGGTTTGTTTGGTATTAACTTGATTAGTAAAGCCTTTTACCGCTTGCTGGAGGCCGCAAGCCCACATATCCGTTGATAAGCCACCGGCTTCCTGTCCCCTGTCAAGGCCACTAGAGATGACGGCAATAATTCACGTATTTAATGACAGGCTAAAAAAGAGCCATATAGGCTTGTCATGCTCATACAGTGTTCTCTGA